ACATAACTTTCCCTTTACTATGTATATTACTCCGTATATACGTACGTATACGGAAAAGTAAAAATGAATGAATGTTTAAACATTTGAAATTTTATCTATTTCTTTTCTTTACATTAAATCCATGAGACATTTCAAACTCAAAAAAATAGCTCCAACGTTTTTTTAATTAAATTTTGTTGTTTGATAGTATGAAGGACATAAATGCGAATGGTGCAGGTCTCATTTTCTTTCAAAACCCTTATTTTTCGTAAGTTGCAAAAATTCAAACCTTTTTCTACATTCTAATTTCTATCCAGCAAAGTTTATATTTTTATTAAATCCATCAAGTTCCAGCTAATATCAAAGGTAAGATTTTCTAGAAGTGAGGATCTTTCTATTGCTCCCAGAACCGAAATAAGTGTAAGCTCTTGTCGCTCGTTTTGAATGAAGCGCGTTACGCGCACGCCGACTTGCGCGTTTCCCTAATAGAGATATCTATGGGTGTATCTCTCCTCTATGGTTTCCCTCCCGGTCGGTGGGCGTCACGTTCGGGCTCGCAATGCTGGCAGGCCCAAGTTAAAGAGGGCGTACTTTTAAGCTGGAGGTTTTGTAATTGTAAAAATTGCGAACGGAAGGTTTTGCGATTGTCTATTATTAAATAGACATAGACTGATGAATATGAATTTGTTAAAGGATATGTTTATTATTTACGGCACTAACATCACTTGTGCTACACATTCTATAAAGGGGGTCCGGATATCAGTTTTGCGGGTCAATTCTTTACCCTACGAGTCCAGATCCTCTAAAAAAACGCGCGAACGTTTGCCTCCGGGCTAACAATTGCTTGATAAAATATCAAAAATGTCTAACACAAATGGAATTTTCTTTTAAAGCGACTGAATTTTCAAACAAATCATCAAACAATAAACTCCTAATGGGCGAATGTAAAAGAGCTTCAAAAGAAAAATTCGACTAGCGTGGATGAACATGTCAATGTATTTAAAACACGTATTTCAAATACAAACATTTAAATACTGCCCAACTCTGCTCATTACAAATCACACAACCTTTGGTGCAAAAACTAAATATTTTTTAGCAAATATCAACACAAATTTGACAATTATTACTGCTTTTCATACAGGTAAATTATGACCCAACAATAAAACGTAATTCACAAAAATGAGTTCCCAAGTCATTGTAGCATTCCAATCTGATATTCCCTGAAATCTAGCAGTTTCAAATAGGTTTTAAACAATTTCTAAGATATTAATGTGTAAATCAAAACATTTCTAAGAGATTAATGTGTAAAAAAGGGCGAACGTAAGAAATGAACAAAGCAATTTTAAATAATATACAAATTCTGACTTACGTAGCATCCAACTGTGTGGAATCGTTCACGAAGCGCAGCGGGCATTAATTTTTTCGCCAATTAACACAGAAACACTAATTTTCAAAAATCTTGAACATGACCCTATTTGAAGATCTATTTTGATAGACACATGTCATTAAGAAAAAAATATTCATAATTGTCCTTATAAGACGCCTATAAAGAAGCGGTCAATTCGAGCGGGCGAATATATTTGTCGCGAAATTTCACAAAAATACTTATATTTTCAAAAACTTCAATACGACCTTAATTGAAGATCTGCTTCTTATGAACACGTTTCATTATGAAAAATAAATTGTATATTCACAACTGTAGTGGTAGGAAGAGGCTGAATTGTTTCAATTTTTCACAAAATCACGCATTTCAATGAACATGAGACCTACACCATTCTCTGAAGCGTTCTTTATGCTACGTTCTCAATTTAATAAAAAAACGTGCGGTTTTTAAGAAGTGGTTTAAAGAAAATAAAAATTGAAATATTTAACACAAAATATCGCAAAATAATAATAATAGTAATAAAAAAACACCTCACACTTTTTAAACATTGAACATTACCTTAGTTAATTTTGTTATTGATAAACACAAATCACTAAGAAAAAAATCTTCATATTTGTAGTTGTAGGAACAAATTTTTTTTTTTCTTCAATTGTCAAAAATCAGGGTTTTCAGCCAATGTAAGACCTAAACCGTTTTCTTAAACGTCCTTTAGACTATCCAATAACAAACTTTTAAAAAATTGGCGACATTAATTTTGATAAATGTCCTAGGTGCTTCATGTTAAGTATCCCCCAAATTAAAATATTGATTTCAAATTTAATGGGTACCGACTTCAGCCAGATCGATCGTGGATCTCAATTTTGTAGGAAACCGGCTATACAGTTCAGCCGCTAGGTTGTTCACAGACGGACGGACAGACGTTTTGCCGTCAATCGACATTTCGATATCAAGGATCCACAAAATAAGAATTCTGGCTATACCACGTGTATATGATTTTTTTCTCTAAATTTACTGGATTTATCGACTTTTTCGTTACCAGAGCACTGTAATACGAGTTTTTCTGAGGAAATTTCGCGTAGCATCACTCAACTTTCTCTTCTTAAGCGCGAGAAAGTAAAAGGAGTATGGTGTGCAATTTCTTGTAACAGAATTGTTGGTTCGTCGGTGCTTTTTCGCCACTGCTTGCGCTGTATGGAGAAGTATTGTAATTCTGCGGGGGAAAACGGCGACTTTTCGATACAAAAACCCTTGACGGGCTTTGGTAAAAGAAAGGGATACATTTTGTCCCTATATATTGTAAATTACGTCCTCTAACAAGTTTTGTAGTCAAATTCATGTTTTGTGGGTTCTTGATGTCGAAAAATCGATTGACGGGAAAACGTCAGTTCGTGGCCAATGATGGCGCCTAAACCGCTCAGTCGATTTTTTCCAAAACTGACATTCCCCAATCGATCTGGCTGATGTTGCTTAAAATAGGTATTTTAGTTTTAGAGGGATATTTCATATAAAATTAAGCCCGTACGACATTGTCAAAAGTATTGCTACAAAATCTCATCCTTTTTGGCATCCTAACTGTTCCGCCTTATTTTAAACTATATAAACGTGCAAAAGTGTTTTCAACCAGCAACAAATTTCCACTCCGAGACCCGAACGCTAATCCTCAGTTAACTTTCCGATACAGAAGTGCCGGCAGAAAGAGCGAAAAGTAATAATATTCAGATCCGTTAGGGATATCACGGTCAAAGAAAAACTAAGTTGGTCACGTAGGTAATGTCTATAATATATTTAAATTTCATGATGATAGATTAAGTAGTATACCATCGGTTCATACAGATGGAGAGACAGAAAACAATTGATTTGACGTTTTAGAAATCAAATAAGAGAATTTTAAAAAAATATTTAAAAGTGGCAAATTCGAAAAGCACATACACACACGTCAGGTTTTTTTTAAAAAATCTGTATTGATTGTCTTTGTTAGTACAAGTGCTTCAAATAGTTTTCAATTAAGTCTCTCGAATTCTCAATAGTTTTCTACAACATGGCCATCAAATTAAAATCCCTGTGCGAGACTCGAACTGCCGACCGACTTGCTCAATCTGTACACGCCATTTACCCTCAGCCGTCTGGAGCAAACCAGAGCTCCATGCTTCCGCAAGTCATAAAGGCAGATTGTTTCAGTTCTAGTATTAAGGGAGCTGAAGGGTATGGAAAGATAACGGGAGAAGTATTGGGAAGAGAACAATGCCTAACTGAAATGCTAGCACAGACTAAAGAGATTGGAAAACTAAGTTGTGAGAGAAAATGTGTGCCTTTCTAGAGCCCTAGTTTATTTACCGTAAGTTGCTACATACGAGAAGAAAATTGAATGAAAAAATTTCGAGCGGGTTTTGAGAAAATGTTTTTAAAAACTGCATACATATCAAGCGCTATTTCCAATTTTGTAGTCTTGAAATGCTCTCTTTTTGGCATTTTCGAAAAAAAAAAAAAAAAAAAAAAAAAAGAGGAATAACCGAAAATGGGACTTGCTCCATATTTTTTACCGGCCCTTATTACAAATCAGGAGAAAATTTAAAGAAAAAAGCCTATAATTTGCTCAAAATTACACGGAAACTAATATTTTTGAAATATATAACATGAACTTATTTAAAGACCCGTCTATATATTATATGAAGAGGAAAAATTCTCTCTATATATTATATTTGTAGGAAGACGCCCAAAAAAATATGCTTTTTCCTTTTTCAAAAATCTGGTATTTCAACGAACACGAGACTACCACCATTCTCTTCGGCGTTTTTTACGCTGCCGAACTCAAAGTTTGATCAATTTTGTGCAGTTTTTGGGAAAATTTTGAAAATCTTTTTGAGGCTTCATGTGAAGTACCATCAAAAATCAAATTATTCGTTTGAAACTCCCAAAGATACGAGTTCATTCAGATCAATTGGGGAATATCAATTTTGAAGAAAATCAGCTGAACGGTTTAGGCACTAGCGGACAAACGCTTTGCCGTCAAACAATTTTTGAGAATCAAGAACCAACAAAACACGGATTCTGGCTTCCCCACGTATTAAGAGGATTTCCACCTAAATTTAGCAACAGGAAGTCTACTTTTTTGTTACCAGAGCACGGCAACAAGAGTTTTTACGGCGAAAATTCACAGCTTTCCAGCGTACGATTATAATTTTTCTTAGGAAGAACTTCGTAAATCGAGAAATTAAAAATGGGTCCTATGGTTTTCACATAATTTCTGCTCGAAATTAATGAAATGTACAGGCGTACCAGCCACATGGGCCAAGAGAAAAATTTTCAGAGAACAGGAATGGATCAAAAAGCTATTTTAATTATAATTTGCAATTCAAAATCACAATATTAATCCAATTTTCACTCTTATTTTACAATTTGCATTGTAGCACCATTAGTTCAGTCTGTTTTATTTTGGGGGCTGCAGCTCTCTAAGTATTACTTTAAAAAAAGCTTTTAAGTCAAGTTTGCTCTGTTAGCGAGATAAATAATAGTATTGCATACAACATCAATAATAATAATAATAATAATAATAATAATAATAATAATAATAATAATAGTAGAAGCAGTAGTAGAGTTTACTACAAGTTGATTATATCATAAACATATATATTTTTGCACACATTGTGAGGAAATGAAAAAGGACATTTTATTAAAAAAGCTTTAGCTCCCTTGGTAATGAGATTCAAAAGAAATTATTTATGCAAAAGTTGTAAGAAATTTTATACTTTTTAAAACCGAATGCAATTATTTTTCTACAGGATTAAAAGTTAAAGAGATTCAGAGGAAACCCCAAAAAGGTCAGAAAAAACTAACATGTTTTTTTGGCCCTCCTGGATTGAGCACAGGATCTAGAAGGTAGAATACTTGGGATTATAACTATTGCTGGTCAAAATACAATATACCAAAAGAAAAAGTTTTTATGACAATTTTTACAGCCCCCCCCCCCTCCTTCAGCACTTGCTGACTGAACTACTCGGTCTCTATGAAACGTAAGGAACAATATCATTCCAGATATGCAACTTCTAAGAAGTAGGGAGTAAGTTTCACAAATCACAGTGAAGATCTGAAGCTCTAGTGTAGTATTACCTTACTTTGTTAAGCAGCAAGGGGACTCCAAGAACATGATTTTGCAAACTCTCTTCTGAAATACTCTGTTTCCACAGGTAAAGATTTCAAAATGTAACAAAATATACAACTAGTAATATGTAAAAGAAGTAATTATACCAAAAAATGTAAATACACGTAAAATAAAAATAGTTGTGATACCTCCTGGATGTAATGCAAACTAAAACCATTATTGCATGCAGGTTATATTCTACCAAATAAAAAGAAGTAAAGTCTTTCAGTAAAAATAAGTATTAACATGAAAATGTGTTCTGTATTCATTACCTTAAAACATTGATGCAATAAAAACAAGATAATTGGTTTCCAAAGACATAATTACAATTTCAAACTTTTTAAAAAAATATGCAACTCCTTTTTGGCCTTCTACTAATTACCAAAAGCGAAACATGTTAATTTTTCTTAGGTAATTCACAGTAAGTTTTGTTTCCACATGCTTTCTATACTACCACATTTTCCATTAACTATATATAATTAAATTAAAATTATAATTTCAAGATAAGCACATATACCTTGAACATATTGATTGAAAAATCACAATATTTTTTATTCACAGCATTTCTGTATAATTACACTACTTACTATTCTTGAAACAGACTTGAGTTCTACGGATTACACGACATTAATATTCTAAGAATTAAAATATTTTGTTTCAACGACTAAATGTAGGCTGAACAGTCATAAAGATTTCAAGGCGTAGTTCTCAATTCTTGAAAATGCAACACTAATATTACTGTACAACTGAAGGCCAATATGGATATTATATTTGAAGCAAGGATACTGAAATAGGGTAAATTACATATAAAAAACAAACAAACATATATTGACATTGAAATACAATGAAATATACATATTGAGCTATATTTCAACAATAATCCTTAGGAGAGTTGACAATAATCTCAAATACATTTTATCAGTCTCTCAACTTACTGAGGAACTTCTCCAAAATTTTAAACTAGTTCAATGATCTTCATTCACAAGTAGGAGATAAGAAATTATAAAAGAAAATTATAAAATATCTCCAAAACATACACAATTATAACATTCTCTGAACAAAAATAAATAAACTTTCAGTTTGAACATTCACTCATTTGAACTTCTCTTCCATCCACTATTTGGATTCTGCAGGGTTCCAATGTTTCTCAGTGTCCTAAAGCACAGCCCAGACTTCCACTTCCATATCACAGTGTCGATCACTTCGATTATATGAAGCTAACAACAGAACAAAAATACTCTCTAGACAAGCATACAACAAATAGACAAACAAATATAAACCTTTAATATTAATATATATAAACCATAAATACAAGATGAATGTCCATGAAATCCTTTCTAATGCCACAAATAACAAAGAACAATCTCGTATTCATTCATGAATATGAACATATAACAAATAAGCAAAAGACATTTTTTTAAATGGAAATTTGCAGCAAATTTTGAAGGAAATAATGTCAAAATATATAACCCCACTTACAAGCAAATGTTTTGATACAATGGCTTGAAAAAAATTTCGTTTTTTTAATTTTTGGAATAATACTGAACTTGTGGATTGTTTTACATAATCATACAATACGGAGGAGAAACCAAGAGCAAGAAATTCAAACTGAGTACACCTAAATTAACAAATTTAATGGTTAAAAAGTAAGAAAATGAAAGCTTAGGTTAAATAAAAACAATCACTTCATAAAAAGTGTTGTCTTAATGGTCTTGTGGAAAAATAAATTAGTAAAAGGCAGTTATAGGGGGGAAAATCCCCCTTTGAACGGGAATTCAATCAAATTCTTAAAACAATCGTTGTACTGAATAAATTCGATAAGAAATGAGAAATTCACTGAATATGTTAAGAACTCATCACATAAGGTTCCTGGCAAGGTCAGGATACAAATTCAACATCTGAAGATTCTGGTGAATCCCAAATGTTTTCTTCCCAAGATTTTTGTAAGTAAGAATATGTCCATTGTAAAACTCAGCTAGTGAAAACTTATATCTAGTAGTAAAATTTGCAAGCCTTAACACTGCCATTGGCACAAAATTCAATAAACGTCTGTAAAACTTTCATTGTGATAATTTTAGAAATGTACAGTGGAACTAAAGCATTACATGGATATTTTGTTACCTTTATGATGATATATTTATTAGTAAAATTCTATTCTTTCAAAATTCTATTATGCCTGTAGGTATAATTATTATTCTACAATCAAAACAATTCTTTCTTGAAATTTAATCAAAAAACATTTTGTAATAAAACAAAACCTCACCAATATTCCTAGACATCTCAATTGGCTACCACACAAATTTTACCCAACCATAAACACTGCCTTATAAGTGATATTCAGGTATTACAGAATTTTAATGTATTCAAAAACCTTTATTTACTTAACTAATGAAAAGGATATTGTGAATTTCTAGAATCAATTAATTCCACAGTTGTAGTACCATAACCAATAACATGCATATCACAACACCATCATGTTAGATAATGCATGTGCAAAGGACAACTATACTTACTTTGCAGTAGGCAATGAAACAAGTGTGGAAACCATTATTGATGCAGAAGCTTTATCCTCTCAATGAAGTGGTAGGAAATAAATTTCTGAGAAAAAGTTACATCAAAATTTTCAATGGTGATAGCAGAGAAAATACACTTCAAATCTGAATATATATTTTACCTTAAATACAAATTCCTTTTCTAACTTCATGATTTGATAGCCCTAAGGCACCTGAGAGGCACTGTCAAGACCAAACAAAACCACAAAGTGCAAGAATATATGTGCTAGTGTCCCTACAGCTTTCTATAATTTTCTTATGTCAGCTGGTATGGCTTTGCGTAATGTACAGCAACACTGCATGGTAAACAACTGGCCTGACAATTATCACATTTTGTGAGGGAAATTTATGCTTTAGATTCAGAGAAGCAAACAGTCTACCACCAGACTCTCTTCAAAAGTGAGAACTTTCTTTCTTGAAAATATGATGTATTACGAAGATTATATATGTATATAGAATCTATTTTTCTAATTTGCATTGCACACACAAATTGAAAGAAAACCATGCAGTCTCTGACTATATGAGAAATGTCTGTGGTTTTGTTGGATACCCAGGAACTAGAAAAAATTGCAAAAACAATTAAAGTTTCCATTTTCACTGAAAGATGTAAAAATATTTGATGGTGATATTTTGCCTATTCTCATACTGCACATACTGACTGAAATCTCATATTCATATCGCTGCTTACAGCTCTCGCACAACACCCCAAGGTATCAAGGAAAAGAGCATTCATTACTAACTATTTGCTATTCACATGTTTTATTATGGAATAGTAATATTTTGGATACTCTTTGTATATAAAGAACTGTTTATTAAAATATAAATTTTTTTGCAGTTATACAAAATTATTTTGTACATTGTCCTTGAGCAGTGTGTGCTACATTCTGGAAAACCATTTTGTGCAGTTTTGTTCAGCAGCATTCTTGCTGCCGCAGGCCACTAGTATAATATTATATGAATTTTATGTTTCTAACACATCAGTACTGTCAAAACACTGAGTATTTTTCTCACTAATGGGTTTTCCCCCACTAGTTTCTTGAAAAACATGTAAATTAAGTTTTACTGTATCTGATTTCCTTTTATCAATTAAAAGTCTGCTATTCAATGGTGAGGTTTTGTATTGATTATTTCTTTTTCATAGTCTTTATTTCTTCATAGCTTATGATTTATTTAAAAATTAATAAAAATTGATGTATTGAAATGGAAGACTGTAACTAATAAGAGTTGTACTATTTATAATTAATATCTCCTAATAATTCTTACTTTTTTGTTGTCTAGTTCAACCACATTTTCAGCATTTTCTCATAAAATATGATTGGAATTCAACTTCAGTAATATTCTATAAATTACTCTCTTAATTTTTTAGCCAGTATTCAAATAAACACCAATTGAATATTTTTAAATGAATAAAGTAGAATTTCTCAAAAACATCAAAGACATTCCATAATGTTGATGTTAAAATGTTGCTTAGAGTTCAGCATATACAAGTAATTATTGTTATATTTAGATATTTCTGACCCCCAATTATTTCCTTTATAATATATTGTTAGGAGATGGCTTCATAAATGATTTTCATGGTCTGTATCCTGTTTGAGTATAGTTCTAAGTATTTTGAGAATATACTGTAAAAACTGAATAGTCATATCTTACTAGAAAAGGAAGTGACAACCATATTTGTGAGATAATCCACCCCCACCCCCACTCTCCAAGTTTATATTTTCATCTTAGGAGTTTTGTGTCATTTATCTTTGCTTCTTCAGAATAAAACATAACTCCAATGCAAAATCTGCTCCCACTATAAGTATAGAAAACAATTAAGACTGAATCAGAAAGATAAAATTCATGTGCAGTTTCTTATTTTCTTCCCTTTTTGAAAGAGACTTTGCTTGCCCTTGTTAAGAAAAATACCTTAAAATTGTTCATCATTATAAAAACAAGAAAGTGAAATAAAACTAAACAAAAACCTCAGTACAGTAGAACCCCTCATATCTATCATCATGACACCGAAACATGGTCAGCACAAAAACCAGATTGGATGATCGGGGGAACAAATAAATAAAAAAATTAAGTCTTAAAAAAGGAGTGCATGCATTCTCTAATTTAGTAGTATTTATATTGATTATGTGTAATACATTGATATTCATATATACAATGCATAAAACATGCTCTACTAGAATATTATATTGAAGAACTACAATAATGTTCAAAGGTCAACATCAACATCAAGAAGTGATTTCAAGGAATAAAGGGAGATTGGATGTGAGGAGTTCTACTACACAAAATTGCTACAAAATTTGAGACCACATAAAACAAGGTGTCTACTAAAGAACTGTGCAATCATGGCAGGTCTGGCTCGCAGGCATCGAGACCACAATTCTGCAGGAAGTAAATGAGCGACGGCTCATGGCATTGACCAACTAGCACTGCAATACAAGTTCGCACTGGTCAGGGTTGACAGCTAATTACTCTATCCTGTCCTCTTACGGCACCTTCTTACTCTTCAATATTTGACAAACAGTGGAATAAAAACTTTCTTTGTTGCAAAATGAATCGCAGCCAACTGCACATTTTCAAATTGGTCATATACTTGACTACTACTGAACTTGATCACTACAGTGAGAGAAAAGTAAGTATCGATATAAATATAAAAAAAAGGGGATGAAGTTACACCAAAGAGAAATAGAATTATCACACTGGAATGGTCAATATGGAGCTACACTAATGCAGAATCGCCCAGAGATAATCATCGAAATCCTGCACAGTTCTTGAGAACAAACACTGTGTAAACAATTTATTAGTAAAAAGAATACTTGAATTGAGAAGACTAAATACATTCTCCTTAACTACATACTCCAGCCCAAATTGTAATTATACACAAAATAAAAACAGAAAGAAAAGAAGAAAGAAAGAAAAAGTAAAAGTAAGGAAAGAAAGAAGATAGAAATAGATAAAATATAATAGTTTCAAAAATGACTAAAGTAAAGTAACTTACTGTGTCTATTAATGTTTCATTAATAACATTTACATTTTCTGAATATAAATAATCATCAATCTTCAGATTTCCACTGTCAGAAAACTAAATTGCCCTGGGAGCTGCAGACAAACCCATGGATTTGGGTTTCTAAAAAGGTCAACTGTGGTTGTTTTAAATTACTGACAGAAACATCAAATTTTTTTTGCTTTATCTAACAATGTCAGGGTATGTATTTATAGCAAATATTATAAATATAACCTTAAGTAGTAATTAATAAAGTATGATTAGTAGTTAACACAATTAATTCAAATAGATAATTAATATGTAAATTAATAATTTATTAAATGATATAAAAGTTGCATGTATCAGAGAATGTTAAGGAACATGATAGGCCCCATTAGCTAGTCCCACAAATTCAAACAAACAATTTATTCTCCGATTAAAATTAGTGTGTTTTGATACTTGCTCCAAGCTGTCAATAAGCAGCACACAATAGCACACGTTTATTGAAGCAGCATGATAGGTTTTCTGGGAGATTACCCTGTTTTGGATGTGTCATTCGCATTCTCATTTTAATGGAATTTCAAGTACTTGTACAAGATATAATTCAAAAAGACCCATGCGTCAAAACATAAGTAATGCAAGTAAAATACATTTTTTAAAATTTATATATCATTAAATATTGCAATGAGAAATTACTAATGAATAAAATGTACACAAATCTAAATCACATAAAGGAATCTCTTTTTAACAAGAGATCAAAAATTTTGAATATAAGTGAAAAAATGAAAATGGTCAATTTATCATTTTTATATTTCCTTCTTCAGAATATTATAATAGAGAATAGAAACTAATGTACACATAAATTACACAAATACACATGAGATAAACACATTTAATTGCAAATACAGTAAAATACCCTCTTTTACTCTTTTCAAGGATCTGAAAAAAAATGTGGTAAATTGCAGGAAAGTGTAAATGGTGCAAAATTACTTTTGCTTACATAATAAATGCACAACATTATTTCTCTAGGTATATTAATAACATTATCCTTTAAAGAAAAATCATTGAGATTCTAAAACCATGCACTCCAAAAGACACTAATTTTACTGATTTCTATTTTTTCTAGAATACAAAGTCTTTGATATTAAAATTATTTGATGATCAAATAAACACAAAATTTTTTAAAACTGCACACAAAAACAACGAATTGCCAACTAAATGCTTCTGAGAGAAAGGTAAATAGTACAGAAACAATGGAGATCACAATCTATGATTCCTTCAACATGATAATCTTGTGATAAAGCAATAAAAAATTGAGAAAAATTGTTCAATAAAGAAAATAAAAATCGCTAGTTGTTGCTAGTTATTGCAGCTTGGCTCTGCACTAACAAGGACAAAAGTGATATTGTAAGTGAAGTGGGAATTCACTATATAGACTTGAATTACCACTGACACATTGTCAATACACAAAACATTTCTAAAAAGCTTGCAACCCCGCAACGGATTAATAATTTTCCTTTTATTCCGAAAACACAATTTAAAATGATAACAGGCTCTAGACAAAGAGTCAGAATTGAGTAATTCTGACTTTCCCTGATCACAAGCAGTCAAGTATTCCCAGTGCCTGGTGGGAACAAACAAACATACAAGATGAGCCATCCTATTGCTTTTAGGCTTGTGTGTAAAAGTGATGTTTTAATATTGAAAGAGTAAAAGTGGGGATAATTTTACATTGTGAACATAGGGGAATTAAACGGAGAGGTAAAAATCGGAGTAAATAGTGGGAAAATGTAAATTCTGGGACTGTAAAAGTGGAGTTTTACTGTAATTATCAAATAATAATAATAAAAAAAATTATACACAAATACCTAAACACTAAACATATTAAATTAACACAAAAATTAGCATCCTTAGGTCCGTAAAATTCAAAGAAACACACAGTAATATGACAACACAAAATTACAAGGAACAAAGATGGCAGAGGCACAATAGAACACCTATCTCTATTCGTCATCAAAAGGATGACAAATACCATGAATACTACCTGAAACTATCCCTCCATTCTCTCTGGTACCCTCAAGTATGATGGAAAGAACACATATTGAAGGTCTGCTACTGACCCAGAAAATGCATGAAACATGGAATATTTGACTGATAACAGACTTTCTAAGTGAGATTGTTAAATGTGAGAGTACGTTGATGAAATTGGAACTGGGTATCGAAGTATGAATATTCTAAAGTAGGAAAATGTGGTAACAGGGAACATGGTAATGAGATTCTACTATTTAACATAAAACTTGCAAGCAATATCCATCATCAGAAATAAAAATACTATAAATAAATTAATATCAGCGAATGGAGAGAAAAACAGAAAGTCACAAAAGTAGATGCATTCTATTATACCAGATGCTTCAGAAAAAAATGTGCACAAATCGAGAGTGGAAGTAGAAATTATCAAGGGAAGAAATGTTGCTCATAAACTAAGAGGCAAGGCTCAGCACTAAGATTTGTTTAAAAATTTTCTATGCCAGTGCGTGCCTAAGGTTTCTGTTTTAATCCCAGTAGTCAGAGCTGGAGTATAACTTGGTTATCACATATATCAAGTTTTGTAACCTTTAACAAACAAGGTTCAGCCTTTAAATACCCGGAAAAACACTGTAAGTGTTACCATGATCCACTATGTATAGGATGCTTTAGAGTCCATCAGAAGCAAATGAATCTACACTGGGATCTATCTCCTAAATCTATCCCACACGATATCCACCTCTCTGCGTTTTACCCTGAGGAAGTATGATGACAAATGTTGGCGTCTGTGTTTACGACACACTGTCTTCCAGAGAGCCAACTATATATTGGCCTCAAAACCCATGTATAAATTCTGTTTCAATTTTATATTATATCTTGAAATGTTTTTGGCCAAAAAAAGAAAAGAGAGAGAGAGCATTGTATTAAATTTAAAAATAAGTTTCAATGAATATCTGAAGTCAATATTTTTCCCCTGGCTACGTAAGTTTCAAAGTTTTATTAGCCATGAATTTCACATATATCTTATACATATACTTGACATAAATTCTCAAAAATGCCTAAAAATGGGCAGGTTTCTGGAATTAACATGGTGTTAAAAAGTCACGGGACTGAAAGTCTTAAAATGCATCTGTTCCCCTGTGAGATTGGAATACCAATGCACACTGAAGCCATGGGTGACCCTTGTCTCAGCCTCATTGGAGAAAGGCAGAACATGGTTGTAAACATTGCAAGAGAAGGGCACAAATTTACTTAAAAATGAATCCTAATTTCAACATTACACTTGTTATGCAATTCCAGTTGCAATTATTTTAACGAAGAATAATAAATTTTACAATTGCTCAAATCTTGATTTTCCAGCACCCCTGTGCCCTTCTCCATGAACATTGTGGCGCTCTTTTATAACATTTACTGCAATGTTTTTGACATTAACCCTTTGATTATTTGGAATGTATTGTCATGCAGAAAACATATGCGCGAGGGCCTCTGTACGTGTTGGCGAGCACATATGGGCTGTTGCTGGGAGCCTCTGGACATGTGATGCACGGCCATTCTTGTTGTTATAATGCCTTTTGTGAGGGCCAAAAGATTCCTGAGATGATTTTAGCACTATCTATGTGTGCTTCAGCACACTAACGTGACATTTTGATGCCATTCTGATGCACTGATCTCGCATTCTATGAGTTAAGTTTAGAGTTTTGCTACAATACGAATGCTAATTATAGTGATGCATAGAGAATTGATAAATTTTGTATGCATCACAAGAGTGACCTCCAAGGAGGGTTGGGGAAGTTTGCCTCTCACTGCCACACAGAAAGAAATTTATGGTTGCACAGTCACTTTCTTATTGCTGTTTACATTTCAATTCCGTGGACTGCTGTGTCCCTTGAAGTGCTGGTCCTACCTAACTCATATTTTCTTTCGACTTTTGTTACTTCCCTTTTAGTGGTTGAATTGTTTGTTACCCAAGCCCAACAGCTCTGAGTTCAGTCCAAGTGGCAGGCTCAGCACACAGTGGTGCCGACGGACATAGCATTCCACACACTGCCACACTCACTGAGTATGACCATAACAGTCAAAGGGTTAAGTTCTTCCTTACTCTTTTCAGCCTAAAAGGACTGAAGTGTGTCTTAGTTCGCTGACTACACAGAACAGATGTGCTTTTTGAACATGCAGGATCAATAATTTTTGATTCATTCGTAAATGAAAATTGCTTCCCTAAACCCCTCTACCTCACTTCTGAGTCTGTGCATCTTTTTGTGAAACATTCTGTATAGATGTACAAACATTTACTATAAAATATTGTGCTAAAGAATGGACCTACAGACCCCATTAAGATATATAAAATAATGTATCCTAAAAGTACGCAGAACATAAAAAAGTATTTGAAGCAATTCTACTCACTGACTGGCCAGCTCCAGATCCATGTCTGACCACACTGCTTCAGTCTCACTCTCGTCCGCATCTCCAGTGGTAGCCTCATTCTCCGAATCACCAGCCGATGCAGCCGTGACCCGAGCATGCGCAGCATCCGCAGCGGCCGCGGCTGCAGCTGCTGCTGCCGCAAGGCGTTCGTAGGCACTGCCCGCAGGGCCACCCGCGCCCTCCTCCTCTCCCATGTAGTAGGAGCCATCCAGCTTACCCGTACCACTGCCAGTGCCTGAGCCGCTACTGCCACCAGCTCCTCCTGTGCCACTTGCTCCGCCTCCAGCACTGCCTCCACTGCCCCCTGCTGCACCGCCTCCCGAAGAATCTAGCCGGTGGAGTCCCTCAAGTGCTCGACGATTGCTTGGGTCCAAATTCAGGGCGATACTGCAAATCATATGTCAGGTATTTAATACACAGGAGAGTCATCTTCATCATCTTGAACAGTTTTACATGTTCTCAGCCATTTAAAGAAATGGTAAAATAAATAAATGAAAAAAAAGCATGTCAATTAAAAATTTTTTCTAACACATGGTAACAAGGTATAACTATTTCCTGAAACACAAAATTTAAGTATTTGATATTATTTTTCATTAAAATTCAACTCTCTTTTATGTGTTGTAATGATAGTTCAATTATTCTTCAATTGAAACAATCCTTATTTTCAATCAATAAAATCTCTGATTCATAGCATTTAAAATTTTTATTCTAACATCACATATGTATCCCAAAATTTATGTTTTGGTTTAAGATAATAATCAGTCTCCAGTTTATTGCAAACTACAGTGAATAAAAAACTATTTAAAACACAAAATATAACATGTAATATATAATATAACTCATAATATATCAAAACTATTCTTGATGCAACAGAAGACATAGGCAAATTATGTTTATTTATCTAATAACTTAATAATCATGATTCATTAAAAAAAAATAAAACACAACTGATAATGTTACAATAAAAAAATTACATATTTTAATTTCTCTGAATCGGGGGTTTTGTTTGTCTATAATTAAGGAGTCTTATTATTGAAGAATCTAAGTTCATCCCTACATAAAACCCTCTTTCATCACCAAAAAATAACTTTTAGGCTTTTTCAGAACAAATTTTACTTTAGGAAGGCTATTTGGTACACAGTGAAGTCCAGAGTTTTACTACATAATGCAAACTAACCTGTAATGATCAAGAGCTCTTTCTTCATCATGTGCTCGTGCCAATAGATCCCCTAGCATTTGGTGCAGCAAACAAGTTGGTTGGATCGCTACCTGTCGCTCCAGAAGCGAAATAGCTGCCTCCACTGACATCTCTTGCTCCAGGACTTCTGCCAGGAGGTACACAGCAGGCAAATAGCGTTCATCCTGCTGGAGAGCTTTCTCTAGCACAGCTCGTGCCTTCACCACAGTCACTGGATCTTTTGTCAGAACTGATGCATAGAGCTGCAGCATATACAAAGCAATTGTTTTTTCCAGAAAACCCAGTATTATTCTATACATGGCAACTAGCTTTATTTATTTGGTAAGAAGTATAAAGGTCTAGCACTTGATCATTCTCCACAGTGCATTATTTAAGTAATGTATTTTATTTTTATAATTATTTTATTTATTTATTTATTTTTTTTTTTTATCATATCACAAAATAATTTCTCTTTTCATTTCACATGTTTGCAGAAGTGCACCACAAAATTTATAAACACCTTTGAAATAGAGAAATACCAATTTTTCGCAATTTTCCATATTATAAAAACCTTTTCATTGCAGTTTTAATGATTTTGAGTTTTTATCAGCAAGAAAAACTTACATTAACTGATCTCTAATCAAGGGATATTTTCACACTACACAGTCCAGTTTTGTTTCATGGAATTTCTTTTGCAAAGACCATTTAAGTAATGTCTAAAATGCCTATTCTGCTTTAGAACTATCACTTCATCAACTTTTTATCTTAGGTATTTTAATTTGCATTTTACTTTTCATTTAAAAACTATCTAGTTCAATATCAAATGATAAGAAAAGTCAACTCTCTAAAACTTACTAGTTCTAAGAGAAATTTAATCCAATGTTCTGAATGGCACTTCGTTCTAGTTCGAGATTTCACTGTATTTACTTTCTACATTACTGACTTTCCTAAACATACAGAATAAAGTACATACAGTAGGAAGATTCATATTTTTAATGAAGACCAGAATTTTCATGCACGTCTTATGGAATACTATCCAGATGTTTGATCAACACCTTTGTATCTTGATGTGTGGTTTATGGCTATATTTTACAGACATTTCCTCTCTTTGTTTTTCACAATATCTTTTACATTGACTGATATTGGGAAGAACGTGCCATCATAACATCTTTGTTCCTCTGTATGTATGTATGTGTGTATATGTACTTATGCAATAAAACTTAGCATTATAAACTACTCGCATAATGTTACATATAGAATGAGAATAACACCAGTTTGTAACTCTCAGTTTGCTGTAAAGCATAAATACAATTCATTTTTCTCTATATGTTGGTTAAAATTTATTTCCTCACTTGCAAAATTTTATACCAATGGGCTATTTTTGGTTCATCACGTGGAACGTGAAAGTCTGCATACTCTAACTGTAAGCCTGGCAGTAGTTTATCAAAATTATTTATACTATTTAACTCACTACAATAAAACTATTCCTTTACTTACAGTCAGAGCTCGAGGACTTTGGCCCAGCTGTTTACATGCATTGCTTGCAATTGTGAGGGCTTCTCGAAGGCGATGCATTCCCACATAACAGTCAACTAAACCTAAATGAGGTTCAAATCGATGGGGAGCCATCTGCATTGCCTCTCGAAAATGTATCACAGCCTCTGTGTATTTCTTTATCTCCATCAGGATGGCTCCTTTCAGAATGAGTGCTTCCACATTGCGTGGATGGGCCATGCAAGCCTTGAAAAAATAGCAGTATAAGAACAAGACATAATAAAACACTGACGTGAGATCTACATTTGGGATCGAACCTTTTGAGCAAAATAAATAGCCTTGGAATTTCGTTTAGCTGCATGCAGTAAGTAGGCCATAGCAACCCAATGTTCAGGACTGTGCTCTGTCGCAGATACACCTGATGGCACAGCTACTAGCCTCTCCAAATCTTTGTGACGTCTTTCTTTTGCCAATAGTGCAGCTAATATATCCAGTCCTCGTTCCATATGTGGATCTTGGGCTTGTGCCTGAAATTTTATGAATAAATTCTCGGAACTCGGAGATATTCAATATTGCTAGATATTATACAATTACAATGGCACACAAGCAAAGTACCTTCACTTATTCGATTTTTATTAAGGATATTAATATAAACCTACCCTCTGAAGAGAAATAAGAGCATTCTTGGTATCTCCTGAGTAGTAATAACATTCTCCCATCGCTACTAGCAAGCTGTGGTTTTCTCGCAATGGTGAGCGTTCTTCTAATTGCCTCAATGTTGTAACTGCCTGTGTGTATTCACGACCGTGTATGTGAGCATGTGCTTTTATCCATGATGTTAGCCTATATATTAAAAAAGAATACACACAAAATAACATTTTTGCAAATAATTAAATATTTTCTACAACTTAAATTACATTAAAATTCTTCAACATCACTATGGCCAATAAATACACAGTAAATGGACTTTGTCAAAGATGTTTTATAAAAGAAAATATTACAATGTAATAACTCATATTTTAAAAAAGATTTATTTTATAAAATATACTCTGAAATGTCCATTTAAGTATATTTGGTACAATGGCGTTTCAGAAATACATGAGGGGTATTGCTTCAATTAATTTTATTCGCAGAGTGTTAGCAATTAGTATTTTCATATTACCCTGTTCGTCTGGACTACAAAAATAAAACCAAACGAATTGATACACAACACCCATTACCAGTAAGTGGAAAACGTGAGACATGTTAAATTCCAAATTCAGGATGTTCATATTTTTCAATTTAAAAATCAGAGGCCTCACTTTTGAACACAGGAAATTGAATGTTGCCTCATCCATCCTCAAATAATTCATATAGGTCTTTGAGTCTTTTGTTGGAATTCCTTAATTAAATTAAGATTAATACGTCACTGCTCACAAGGTGAGACTCACAGCTTCACACACAGATGTTTCCTATTTTTAATGCTGATGAAGAAAAGAGCGAAGACCCATTAAACATAAAGTAGTTATTATTGAGCATAAAGAAGTACCAAGAGCAAGAATTTGTTTGCCATCCATCTTGAATTTCAAGCAAACCACATGAAAATATCGGAAGCAAGGAAGTGAAGTGTGAAGCGTTTGTGAAGATCTATGTCATAATTGAAAGATCTTCAACAAACTTGTCAAAGATATTTGATAAACATCTTTTACAGCACAATACCAGCCTAAGAGCCCTTAGGCTTAGGTCTGTACCGATAAATAAATGTGACTGAGGCCATTCTTTCACACAACCCGTTGGTAAAATTTCTTTTGAGATCTTTCCACATCTCTATTCCAAAACCATTCATACTTCCAGAAATTAACATTCAAATACAAAAGTAAAAAAGTATTTACCATTCCATGCTAGCAATACTAGGAGCACCTTCTAACATAAGAGAGTTTACTTCCACCCCTTTAACGCCAAGCCGCAATAAACCTTCTGCAGCTTCTAAGGCTAAAGGACATTCCTGCCAAAAAAAGTAGTACACGTTTTAGAGACAAACTAAAAAATTATTATCAGTGTAAATAATGAATCATAATTAATTTTTTTAATAAAAAAAATATACAGTGAATGAATGAAATAGCCAACCCAAATGGCTGCAGTCACTAAGACTAGAGGGCTGAAGTGAGTATATTAAGTGAGGTTGCAAGTTTGAGACTACATAGGAATGGCAAGTTTGAGTCTGCACAGGCATACTCACCCTTGTGTTGGGGGAAGGTTGGCTTTCCCACCTTTCATGCATCACTTTTCCTATCATAACAAAGGAGCTTGCACTTGAGCAAAGCAACTTGCATGTGAGTTAAGAACCTGTCCCATCAGGGTCGGTAGCCCCCTTGATCCCTCACTTGCATTTGTGGCATAGGATACATTCCCAATACCTCATTTCTTACCCTAATTACTCGCACAGGCTGGTAACCGTGTGTGATTTGTCTGCATGAGTGAATGAGGAACAGACTCCCTACACCCACATTAATCATACAAGCTTCAAGAAGGACCCTTAGGCTACCGGTGGCATATTTGCAAAGGTTACAGGGTGAAGATGGGCTGAAGGGATACCTCAGCGTGATGTTCAGGGAGAACGAAAGGGGCTCTTCACTGGGAAGAGTTCCAGGGGAGTGGTAGTGACTGCCGGAGACACTTGTAGGTTCCTCAGACGTCAAGAGATACCACCTGGGAAGGGGGTTGGAAAAACTGGAAGGTAACCCTAACCAAAAAGAAAATGGAAATCTATCTTCCAGTAAATTCATGAAATGATTAAAAGCGAACAAAAGATAAAAAATGAAAATAAATTTCATGTACCCTGAGAACTTCTTTGTAGCATGAAACTGCTGAGCGTTCCATGCCCCCAAGTCTGTACAGTTTTCCAAGGGCCATGTTTATTTTAGCTGTCCGCTGTCGCCCAGGAATGGACTGTAGAACCATCATTGCTTGGTGGTTTTGCTTCAAATGAACATGACACAGATGGATTTGGTACTTTATATCTGTAATCATGAACAAACTTTTTAAAAGTAGCAAGAAATTTAGCGTAATTCTCAATGACACAAAATTATACAAACCTTTCTCGTAATATAATCTATTCCCAAAATTCTAATAGCCTGAAATCAATTCTACAGTTCATTTGAGCAATCAGGAAAAATGAATAGGTGATTTTCCTGGCTTAACTTGCCTAGAAGACTATTTGTAAATTCCAAATAAACATTTAACTCAAAATATACATTAGTGATTCTGGGGGAATGATGATTTTGTTATAATATATCACAACTTTACATTAACAGGAATATTATGAGTAAGAGCTAGAGATAATGAAACCATGTTTGATATAGACAAGAAATCTGGTGTTTTTTGAAGTAAGCAAATCCCAGAAAATTGCCATGGGAGATATATGTGAAAAAAAATAACTATGCATTAAAATTCAAGATATGAGTTGACTCTTTTCTGTTACTCTACAATCTATGCTTGTTTTCTTAGAAAAGATAGGTATTAATTTCTTATATTGAATGTAATTCAACTTTCACCTTTTATCTAGAGCATTTTCTTTCTCTTTTCTGAGCATCATTATTTCACATACAGAACAATGTAACCAAAATCAATAATTACCTATATCAGGCATAAGTTCTTTGTGACTGCTGTCCTGAGGTTTGGCTTTACTTTTCATAAGAGTTTTCTTGAACTGCAATGCACGCCGATATATGCCCTCAGCTTTTCGATACTGGCCAAGATAAAACAATGAGTCGCCATAGAACACAAATGTTTGAAATTTTGCTGGAGGAGGAAGAGATTCAGCATCATGATCACTTACAGTTAAAACCAAATTTGCCTGTCAAAAACCATAAAGAAAAAACAGATAATCAATACTTCTTGAAGACAAAATGATTAGATTATTGACCATTAAAAAAATAAAATAAATGTATTCTCTAATATCATACAAATATGAAGTGTCAAACTTTTGACATTGAACGAGAAATGAAATTGAAGAACAGCAGACGTACATTACAATGTTTCCATTAACTTAAATAAAAATTCATGACCAGAACTCGAAAGTTTGGTAAAATGCCTTTATATTATTGTTACAATTTTGACTTTCAACAATTTGATTGTACTTCTGAAGTTGTTTTAGTAGATTTTCATTTTGCCTTTTTTTGCCTATTTTAGCTACTAATGCCTCTTTTTGGCATTTGTGCCTTTTTCTGCTTTATTTGCACCTTTTCTGCCATTTTCATAATAATTTCCTGTATTCCGCCTCGTGGCATTGATCTCTATCAAGCTGGAATCATACCTGTCAGCCTGGGCAACATGAAAGCTACAGTTGTGTATTGTTTTCTGTGGAGGCTGAGGCTCCAGTGTCAGTGTGAGTTAAAAATCTAAAATGGAAAGCAAGATGACACCAGTGACAATTTTTGATATTTTTAGTTGATGCTGACAGACTTGTTTGCTCACAAGAAATCTCCCTATGTTTGTGTTCGGCCTCTGATCCCCTTTTGAGGCCAGAGCATGATTTACCCTTCTCAGTTCATTGTTGTTCTCTCCTCCCATCTGGTGATTACACAAGTGCAAAGAACAAAACCTGTAATTCCTTTTTCACCAATACCATTTAAGATTCAAAAGGGAGTCGACAATAGAATTTGATAGAGACATTGTCATGAGTAAAATAAATTCATAGTCGTCATACCGGATGGCCATGTGCAATCAAGATTACAGAGAAAAGGTAGTTTACTTCTATGAAAGGGCTAATGTAAATTTTACAGTTAGAATAAAAATGTGAATGATTTTTATTTTTTTAATTTTTACAATAATTATTTTTAAATGGTAATTTTGCAACATTTCTTGTGTTTTTACCCGCACCTCCCACAATAAATGCTTTTTTTGCTTGCTTATACTTGTAAAAATAAATGCCTTTTTGTCTGCCTATTTTATGTAAAATAAATGCCTGAACGTCCAGGCTCTATTCCATGCCCTGCATGAAGGTTGTTAAAATTGAACAAAACATTATTAAAGTAGTACTTTGGCATGTAGCATTGGTAAACAGTTACTAACAATAAATACGCAATAAAATACTTCAAAGTAAAGTGAAAATGAAAATTTGACTCATCTACCAACACAGACACTGTAACCCGATTGTACATACACTGAAATTATCATTTTTCTTCGTTTGGAAATAGTATTAGTACTCTTTCTTTAAACTACCTTACTTTTCTTCATATTCGTTTTTTTTTTTTTTCTAATTCAGAGTTTTCTTTAATATACGTGTGTTAACAAGTATGAGAGGACTTCAAAAGCACTCACCAGAGCCACGACATTAGAATATAACTGCTGTTCAAACAACAATTTAATCTGGTCAAATAGCCCAGTCATTTTAAAATTAAATAAAATATGGGAAACGATCACATAACAGTTTGAACACTACCGCATTAACACCCCTGTGACACTCCCTATTCTGCCCTATTCCATGATTCCAAATCGTCCAGCCGCTATAATAATTCTGAGCATGGCCGCCACTACACGCATTGCACGCTACAGCGTGATTCATTTGTTGATTTAGTTCAACTGCCCGCACATATCAAATAGTATTCTGAAGGGAGAAATTGGCTGCTGAAGCGGTCCTCTCCTAATCTGACTTTTCAAAATAATTTTAGATTTAAATTATCAACACGATTATTGCAGTTCTTTCTCAATATTAAGAGAAGACGAGTGACAAAAAGAAATTTCACCAATTTTAATTCAATTCTTTTTATATTTGTTTGTTTATTTATTTGCATTTACAGGGTCAAACCATGGAAGAATAGAATTTTGTTTTATGGTCAAGCCATGGAAGACTTTTTCTTCAAACTTCATCTTTTCTCAAATCACAAAACCCCATAACCCCACAGTCCTGCGTCAAAGAAATTTGAGACTAAAAATAGAAACATGGAATAATATTTCATGAAACATAGAATAAGTACATGTACTAATTATTATTCAATAATAGAGAAAATAATTCTATGTAAGAATTATTTTTTCCGTGATAAAGAGAGCTGAGCAGGACGTACATGGACTATCAGGCGCAGAAGCAACCAGCGACACACTTTATCATCTGGCACAACGCAGAAACTATGCGGTCTAAAACCATAAAACGGGGTTTTCGTGTCGCTATCCGAGTAACCTTTTTATGTCGTGACCTAATAATTGCTACGTTTTTGTTGTTGTTGGTTTGTTTTTCCCCTATTACATTTTGAGGAAATATGTATGCTATCATTTGGAGCACATACGGAGAGGTTTTGCTTGCGAGTAAATTTCATTGTCTTTGGGAACAGTTTTTAACAATTCAGTAACGTTTTAGACATAATGAGTTGCGTCTTATACAGTGGAAGATTCTTACACCGTGGTTGCATCGCAACGCGTATCATGAGTTGCACGAAATATATTTTTGAAAGTATGTCCAAACAAAAGTGTTTCTAGAATTTGCCCAAAGGCATGTTAATTTTTGTTCTGAGTTTCGGCGGAAGGTCATCTTTTTCGATGAGCTGGGACGCTAAGAGAAAACAAAGGGCCCAGGGCAGTAGATCCTCAAGGGCCCCATATTTCATATAAGTTTTGCCAGTAAGCACTCAGCTACTAATATGAAACTTAATCCAAACACCAAAACTACTGCACACATCTCAATCCTTGGACCTAAATCCAAAAGAAAAATTATGTTATTTCCTGGGGTAAAAATTACAAATAGAAAAGACACAGGAAAAATTCAATATTTTGAAATTTTCAGAAAATCAAAGTTGAGAGTGAAAATCGGACATGATCCACCTTTATAAGTGTATTTTTTTCTTACAAGAAATTTGAAGAAAAAAATTCGAGCCATTTTTTTAGAAAATTTTGAAAATGTCTCAAGAGGCTTCACAAAGTACCCCCAAATTGTAAAGAAAGTTTTTCCAAATCACAGCACCTCGAGTGGAGCCAGATCCACCAGGGAATATCCATTTTGGAAAAAATCGTACATATGGTTTAGGCGCTAGAGGTATTTATGAACTGACAGATGGGCATTTTGCTGTCAATTGGTTTTTCGGTATCAAGGACCCACAAAACAGGAATTCTGGCTAGAGAATAGTGCGAGAGAATTTTTTCTCTTAATATAACAACTGAATTTATCAACTTTTTCATTATCCCTCTTCCAACTGACCACTTCTTTTTACTTCTTAATGGTAACCAGTGAAGGCAGTCTCAGTATTTCTTTCAGAAAAGGGAACTGTAGCATTGAACTTTAAATTTTACTATTTGCTGTGGACAAATTAAGATGAGTATTTGATGAACATTGAGAGCTAATGTGTACAGAAAATGTTCAGTAACAATGAGCAAACAACATGTTCCAAAAGAAAGACAAAGTTTCTTTTAAAAAACATTTTTATTTTATGATGGTGTATTATGCACTTTCATCTACAATTCAACATAGGGTGTTTAACAAGAGAATATAAATGTAACAGAAATATGAATATATAAATTAAATACTGTATACAAGAATGTAGGGCAATACCAGGTTTTACAAAAAATATTTACATTTTAACAAATCAAAACTTTATGTATGTACAATGTATGTACAATTTATTGATCTTTAAACAATTCAGTATAGAAGAAAAAGATAAAGAGTATCAGTCATTGATGTGGCCCCTCATTTAAACAAGCTGTAATTTTAACTGCAAATGCACTTACTAGGGATATGAAAGAGATTACATTCCATGCTTAAGTGTTTCTTTACATTGCAATACTATTCTAATCATGATATAGGTATATTGCAAACAAATCCCAGACCTTTTTACTGGGAGGGACATGTACAGATTATGTACAATTTCGGGTATCTAATAGGAGCAAACACTACAATGATGTAAAAATTCTTATCACAAACCTGATTTTCAAAATTGGGTAATTAAAGTATTGTAGCCACAAATGTGTACAAAAGTGCTATCAAGTAAATGACTCTGTTTTTTCCTAAAGGCACTTAAAGAAACTCAGAATTTACATAAAAAATGGATCAAGTTCAATGTAATAACATTGGAATGGAAAGTGCACTGAAGTGGTCCTACAGCTTGTTCTAACCATCTCAGTTGAGGCAGGGGTGTATACAAATATCTTGCAAGTGCTCACATTTAGTACATTTTTCTTATAAATTTTGAGGCTTGTTTTCTATTTCCTCTATTAACCAATAAAGAGCTATTTAAGTAAAAGTTTACAAAAGCTCTTTCACAAAGAGACAAAGTTCATCCTGATCCTGAAACTTAGTCTTTAATAATTATCAAGCTAATTTTTTGTATCTTTATTGCAAAATATGTTCTCCTTATACTTCATCATACACTGCATATCTGTCACAAATTTACTACTGTATTAAATGGGCTAAACTATACAAAATGTTAATTAGTAGTATAACAGTTATCAAAACATGCTTGGTCCCATTCCATGTTGCTTGTTATACAAAATCACGTAGATCTTGCGAGAAAATGCAAGAATATACATATACTGCTCTAACCATACCTTTTTAGCTCAACAATAGGCCTTTCAGAACAGAGGTACTAGAATGAACACAAACTTGTATGCAAGACCCCTGAAATAAACAATCCCCGCCCATGTGCTTTCACCCCTGCCTCTAGATTACCCTTTGTGTGAATGGCGGGGCCACTTCCATTTGAAGAGCTCAGCCCAGACCCATGGCACTGAAGTGAAAATATGTAATGTGCACATGTGTCTTGACTTTAACAATATTAAACTCTGCAAGCTAAAACCTACAAGTGCATACAATATTTCAGAATTATCTCAAGTTTGAATCTATGTAATATGCATAAGGGCAAGATTAACCTCTGTGCATAGTTGGTTGCCAGAATATAAAATTACTTGCTTAAAGCATGTTAGCCTCTGCCAAAAATGTAATATCTTCTTTCACTCATAATGACTTTTTTTTCCAGTCATTTTACATTATTGCCATTTAAAGAATCCTTTGACGAACACACTTTAAGAATTTTCTAACCTTGCCAAAAATTATGTTACGCTATTTCGTAAAACTAAAATATAATTTTTCTTGCAAAGGAAGTGCACCTATTAAAAAGCAATTCAAAATAGTTGCGCAGAAGCTTATAATTGAATACCTATTGAAAGAGAAGTTTTTGTGAATGGCCTGAAGAAAATTCTGAAATTCAACTAAACTCTACATTAAAATATATGAATAATATTACTTTGCATGTACACAGCGTAAAATTGCTATTTTTACAAGACCCAAAAAGGAATAACTGCCTGTCAGTTGTAAATAAAAATAAGAAACACTTTCTAAATGATATGTTACCTTATTTACCAAGTCACATTTATAATCTCAGCATAGCTTTAATAATCTTAAATAAACTATTTATTACAGCAGAATACAAATAAAAAGATAAGAGGAAAAATGATCATGCTTCCAATTCACTATATGTTAAAAACTTCATAAACTAACTAATATGATTATTTTCTCTTTAATTATTCAACATGTACAGCATAAACAGATCCAAAAATAAACAGAAAATAAGATATTTAATAACAAAGTCATGCAAATTTATATATTCCTAAATTCTAACATACCACAAAAAAGTTAAAAACAGGCAAGCAACATTATCTTCAAAGGTTCTCTTAAACACTGCTAAAACACACAAAACATTACAATTTTTCATTCACTCTTTATAACCATGCAATATAAAGTAAAAAGTATATCAAAATGCAATACACAAAGAAAACAATTAAAATTTATACTATATCGTAAACTAATAAATAGCAAAGAAGTGAAAAACCATCAAACTAGAATGCCTACATTTTGAAATACACATAGACCAGGTTTGGCAAAGTAACTCTGATATTAATCCCCTTAAAAATATTTCTTATTAAAACATAGCATTTCATATTACCTCAAAGCGTAAGAAATATAGATTGTCATTATTACATTTATGGCAAGTTACAGAATTTTTTTATACAACAACCAAGATACGATGTAAGAGAGCATGCTAAATTTGAACACTTATCAAAATGTGAGCTTCAAGAGAGACAAATTGCAATTTAATGTTTTATTTAAAGAAAATTATTATAATATTTTCATTTACTCCATAATTAAATATGAGAGTATTGTGCAACCTACAAAAATGAACAGTATTTTCTTTCCCACTTCTTTGCTGTTAAATATATTTCTTTTTTATTTAAAGAAGTCACAAAAGTTTTCCAATACAAGGAAATTACAAATTCTTAAAGCAAAATACACTGTAGTATGTAATATAAATACCAAATTTATACAATTAGGAAGGAAAGAAATTTCTAAATTTCCTCAAACTCTATCAAAATACCCCACATTTATCAACCCTGTTATTCCAAAAGAACCTATTTCAATAAGAGAGGTATATAAATGAACAGAAACATCTTGCTCATACCACCCATGCCATTATGTTAATATAACCAAAATAGTAAAAAGTGAATATATTTTTCATATGTGCAAAACTGTAAACAATTGATTGGCAAACTAAAAATTAACAAAGAACTGAATTTAGGTCTCTACAATGCACATTAAAAAAATATGACAATGGCAATAATAAATTGACTTTGACTAGAAGTAGCAAATCAGATCTCTCATAATCTACATGTATGAGTTTTCTAACACAGTTTGTGAAATTCATTTTAAAATACACGACCTGAAATCTAGGCCATCATATGACTTTTTTTTTGTAGCAAATAAAATATTTCTTAAAAATTATGTTTGACATATATATGTATATAAAATAAGTACAGATCCTCATTCCAGACTGAGCAATTCACAGCTTTAACTTGTTCTATGTAATTTCAATTTCAGTTTAAATTGGGAGCAGATCCCAATTTCAGATCTTAAAGATACTGCAAAGAAACATTTGTGACTCACAATTTCTTTGAAGAGCAATGAAAATATTCAGATGGACTAATTTCAGTTTTCATTTCTCTTAAAAAATTTTACTTACTAGAAGCAAGAATAATCATTTCTCAACACTGAGTACGTATAAAAATTATTTCAGTTATCATTTCACATTAATCTGTTGCTTTGCATCCTAATAGAATTTAATATAATATCATTTCAAACAATAAGAATATTTTATTCTTAAAAAATAAAAAATAATAATAATAATAAAAATAAAGTTGTTGTATACCATTTTAACCCATGTTGCCCAGATGAATATGTACATATATCCAAGAGAGATTTCTATACAAATAACAATCCACTCATGTAAAACATCAGCAACAAGAAATACAAATTGGTTGGTAGAATAGGCCTACTATATATTAAAAGACCAGGAAAATAGCTTGTTTAAAACCTCAAAAGATGCATCATCAACTACTGCATAATTGCATAATCCCAAGCAGAATTCACATTCAACAACTAAATGACAGAATTACAGATTCATTTTAATTAAATGTAGCTTACAAATTCAAATATGAATTTCCAAAGAAACTTACATTAGTTCATTAGGTTTAAATGTCTTAAAGATGCCCACAGCTGTATCTACAAATAAATATTTCAAAATTATTTAACAGAATTTTCATAATTGAAATCTTTTAAGAAGAAAAATTTATTTTGAATAAACGAAGAAAAATAGATATTTATGTGAGAAATTAGTAAACAACTTCTTGCTTAGAAGATATAGTAACTGGTTACTTTTGCAGCTTTTCCTGATCTTTCACAATTCATTACTATTAATATACGTCCCAGATACATTCCTCCCTTAATTTTTAAATCAACTTACAAGGACCAGTCTTATTCTGAATTATATTAGTATTATTAAAAAAAAGACTAAACCCTATGTTAAAAATTCACTGTTTAATTTATAAACATCTTTATACTTCAGTACCACAGATTAAGAACTTTTGGTATCATAAAAAAAGAACTATATGAAAACTAGAATTTTTCATCAAATATTGTATGCGAAGTCCAGGGAATTAGACAAGAATATTAAAAAATTGCATTATATATTTGAGCTTGAGAGGAAACTTAACGAAAGTGACACATTTTCATCCCATTTTCCTGACATTCTATTTACTTCAGATATAATACTGACCAACATTTTATTTGCAAGTTTGGGTTTAAAAATTTTGAAACAAAAAAGAAGCACTCAGGGCATAACAGATTTAAAATAAATTTTGTTCTAATAAAAATGAAACATCGGTTAGACAAAAGATCATAATCAGTGGTACTTTCAAAGATACACTAAACAGTTTTGATATTCCATAATTTTCTTTGCATTTACCTCTACACACACCTACAGCTGGTGGGAAAACATTAATTCAACTAACAAAAGACGTATACTTAAAATAAACTTCAAGAGGAAAACTGTAACAAATTAATTGCTCCAAAGATACTCATATTTCATGTCAATGAGCACTACTTAAGAATACAGAAAAAGTAGTAACTCCTTCATAGAAATGTATTTCATGTTCCCTCTTCAACAGTTGTCCTAATACTCTCATAAAATGCTTTTCCTCTCAGTTTGATATTTACAAAACTATTGTCCATTTGGGATGTAATCTTTTACTTCAAAGAATTTAAATATGCAAAGCTCAGAAGATATATGCAAATAAATTTCAAGGAGTACATATGACCAAAATAAACTTTAACAATAATCTTCACATACCTAATTATATACATTCAAAATTTTGAGTTCAAACAGACTTTATGATTATGTTACTGTATACTCAATATACATTGTAGGAAAGCCATAAATAGAGTTTCGCAAGTTAATTATTTACTGACTATTCCAAAAAATAGTACATATTGACAAAACAATAGCAGATTTTCACAAAATTATTTAGAAATACATAAATTATCAGACATGAATAGCTGACAGAATGGTTTCACAAACTTTCTATTACATTTAATTCACATTTCATCTCTAAATTACAACTTTTTTCAAAGCAATAATAACACGAAAACAACATTAGAAACCAAACCATTAAAAAAAAAATCTTTTAAGAATACTACAACCTAATATTTAAGTGTTTCATATTAATTTTATGCAATTTATTGTGCTTATTGGATTGTCAAAGAAAAACCTGTACAATATTTCAATTGCTTTTATGAATAATTTACAACTTTCCTGCAACATTAATTGTTCCTCAGCAAAATCAGCAGTGATCCATGTCATGATCAAAAAGTTACTTGTAGTATGTGTTTCTATTACAATTTCTTTGCTCAAAAGCAACTTCTGATACATCAAAGAAAGCATTAACACATTGGCACCAAGCAGACTCAATTGAATAGAGGCAAATGGTAGAAATCATATCCCCTTTTGCCTTTCACTGCCCAGTAGATGTATACAACATGATACGCACCAGGAATGAAACAGATGAAACCAGCCAGGAAAAAAACAAACCCCTGAATGCCACTCTCCGGCATACATACAACCACAACCCCAGTCACCAGAAGTCCTGCAAATTGGAGCATATGCATCAGGCTAGAATAAAATCAAATCTTCCAAGGAGAACATTTCCTTACTGAATATTTTTATATCTTCTATAACAATAAAAATCTGATGCTCAGTAGTTCATTCTTCCTTTCAATTACCATTACTGAATTATTAATATTATGCCAACAAAAATACTGTCACAAGTTCAGCATATGCAGCACCTTGTTCAGCAAAAATGCTGCACAATAAAACCCCACAAAAATGGTTTTCCAAAATGTAGAGCACACTCCTCAAGAGCAACAAATACAGCACTGTTATATAACACTACAATAAATTAAATATCCTTGAAAACTTGCTGTTAAATGATGTGTATGACGTATGCAGTCACACTGACTATAAGAATTGAGTACCCAGTATGAAAGCAGATAGAATAACACAAAGAAATATTTGCAATATTTCAGTCAAAATAAACAATAGACAGAATAAGCGCCAAATATTTGCCTTTGCAGAGCAAACGGAAATATTTTAATTGTTTTTGCATTTTCCCTGAAATCCTGGGCATCTAACAAAATCATACACACCTTTCACATAGCAGAAAGACAGCAGAGTTTTCCTTTTATTTCTGCATGCATCGGAAATTGGTATTATAGTTTCCTACAAACTTCACTCAACAAATAAGGCATACAAAATTTGCTAATAGAACAGTTTTTTTTTTATTATTATTATTATTATTATTATTATTATTATTATTATTATTATTATTATTATTATTAATTATTATTATTATTTTCGAAAATCCAACTAAACTAAAATTATTTTCCAGAAACAACTATTACAAAGTGAAATTATTTTAAATAGAATGTATTAAGATTGAATGACCTTAAGTAGATATAAGAAAATTCTTTTTTATTCCTTCTTTGTTCTAGTAGCCTAAACACATGAACTAAGCAGGAATTAAATTAACTCGCTCCCAAAAATAAACCCCAGCTCAAGTGTCCAAGAAAGTTCTCTATTTTTTTAAACCCTAATTTTCCATAAAAGTAAAGTAAAATAATAAACTAATCCTCTATTTTTATACTTGCCATAATAATGAACACTAGCTGGACTCATATAAAAGCTCTGCAATAGTTTCAAAAGTAAAAATTACTTCTTTAAAGAACCAACATTAAATGGCCAGCCCCTAAACTGTGCACTATAGCACTTTATGCAAAGTATTGAGCGATTTTAAACCTTTTAATATTGCTAACAATAGAGATTAAATTGCACAGAAAAGCAAATCCTCCATTTCATGTTGTTGTGAAAGATTTTTTCTGCAATTAAATTCTACCAAGATAATGTGTTTCTGCACTTTTCTGACCAACAATGCTATGGCACAGGGACACTCAAAAGAACTAAATCTCCAAAAATTTAAAAGAAAAGTTCTCTTTTCATAGACTACTGCATGAAAAATATTATTTAGATCCCTCCAACCCCCCTTCATTTTCCCACAGAACTACCTTGTACCACAAAACAAGTGTCCCATTGGGAAATAAAAATCTGGTATTAAGGGCCTAGGATACATCTTTTCTGAGCTATATGATTTTAATGTATGTTGCAACAATCTGCTGTTTTTTGTCAATCTGCAACTTATTTTTTTTCTATCTTACATCTGTTTGATGCAGCTTACAGGTTGTCTATATTAAAATTTATTGATATCCAATCACAATGATATTTTGAAAGTTCCTCTCACACCATTCTGAACAATTCAAATAGTAGAAGATTGCCACATCCTCATTTTGGATGTTTTCTTCTAATATGCATTGTGCATACAATCATACAAAGAGTTAAGAAGACTGGAAATCTATACAAATTCAAGCACAGGACAACAGATGATTTTTGACTTGAAACATTTAAGTAGTTAAATGGTTAAGTTCCCCTGTTACAGTATCATGGATCTGATATACGGCAACTTCTTTTTTTTCCATGTGAGAAAAAGTTGTATGGACTGACAAAGGTGATGCAAGCAAGGGAAGATGCACCATTCATTCTTGAATATAAAACTGCTTATGGTGAAGAGTTCCAGCATATCAACACAGGGCAACGATGCAGCAGTCTTCCTCAGACCTCTTCCTCCCTGGGATAATTGAGGTCAAGAAGGACCCAGTATACTTATGTGATGCTAATTAGAGTGCTTCCCTGTTTCATACCTACTACAGAAAAATATTACAGAAACCTCCAATGATTGTGAAACATTGCAACATGGAACTGGTTGTATAAGTGAAGTCTAAATCAAAATTGTTAAATTGGAATAATTTTGTACAAATTTAGTTTCTATTGAAAGTTAAATAAATAATTACAAATGTAGTCACTAAAATATTGGAAATGGTGAAAATTGTGTTCATCATATCTGCAATAACTCCTTACCAATTCAACAAATACCGAGTAAAAAACTGCCATAACTCAAAACGATAATTTTTAAATTTTAAAAAAAAGTATGCTTAGCCAACCCAAGTTATTTGCAATGTATCGTATATTATTAAAGAATGTTAAAGATTATATAAATTTTCACTTTCATGAAATAATGTTTATTTTTTTTCTATTGTCTCAAAATCTGTACATGCTTCTGCTCAAAAACTGCTCATTTTGACACGTGACAGTCTTCCGCTGGGGGGTGCAATGTGTATACTTTCCAAAACTTTAAGAAATCTGTATTAGAGAGTTATTAGGTAATGAAATATAAGTACAAATGAAATGCTCATGAAACATTTCAAACAAATCATCGTCAAGGATTGAGCTGCAACTATCATATGTACAGTCTACATTTAAATTCACTATCATAATTTATAGTAGCGAGGGCCATTCATCTTTTATATATTTTAAAAGCTGATGAAATAATAAAAAGAAAAAAATGAGTGTGGCAAGCTTTTGAGGACTGCACCAAATTTCCAAATTTCTCTGTATACACAGATTCCAATTACAGAAAGCACAGAGAACTCCCACAAAAGCCCTGAAAACACATCATCAATTTTTGTAATTTTTATAAAGAAAGGTGTTGAGAGATTTCTCTTTTGACCATGGTGCAGAGGAAAAGGAAATATTGAGGATACTTACAAGATCCTACGTGGGCTCTACAAGGTACCCAAATTAGACACACAAATCATAAGAGCTCAAGATCAGAGTAATAAGATAACCTAACATGAAGCTGTGAAATGAAGGGGCAAGAAAGAATCATCCATCTCATTTTATTGTAAATCAAGCTCTAAATGAGTGGAATACTCTCCCTGCAAGCTGTGTTAACAAGTAGACCTTGAATTCATTCAAAAATGTTTGGATTGGTGTTTGTGGAGCTGAATGAGTGAAGAATGAGTTGTAGGGATGTGTCACTAATGTGACAATAGTGATAGCTGTGATTTGGATAGCTTGACAACTGGTGTTGTGATGGTGTGATAACCAACTATTTGAATCATAATTGTGTGTTACAAATGTGTTTATCAACTAATTTCAGTGCTATCATTATTTACAAACTAAATTCCATTGTTGTGCCTCATTTGTTTTCCATTATTTCTTCCTCAAAAAATGAATTAAACAAGCAATGCATTCTTACCAATTCCCACTATAAGCAGGACAACAGCTGCTAACACCATTTTCCAATTTTCTCTAATTTTTGGGTGCCTCCAACAAGACTGTGATGGATCAAACATTCCATTGTAATAATTTCCATCCTGGATGAGAGAATCACTATCACGGGATATTGTCTGTAATGTCAACAAGTAATTAATCAAAGAAAATATTAAAACAATAGGACAGACAAGGTGCCATTACATTCCCATCGAAACCATGAGTCACAGCAATAAGAATCACCAAAAGTCCTATGTATCTCGTGCAAAAAACCAAAACTATTAAGTTAGACATAATGATAAAAATATGTCTAATCATGGAAAACTACTAGAAAATGAATTCAAGTGCACCTCATTATTTAACATTACTTTAACATGATGTTAGCCACTTGTTTATTGCAAAAATATTACACTGGAGCAACAATAATTATTACAATTTAAAAAAATATGTTTTAATAGCACACAATTCTCAGCCTTAGCAAGAAACGATGACATTAAATTTCAGAAGTAATTGTGATCAAGAATGACAGATGTGAAAGACTCAATACAAACATAATAAACAAAAAATAATGTACTGATTTCCAATAAATACTACTTCTAAAATTCAACATATTTACTTACGTCGTCCATACTCTTGAATCGAGGGGCAGTACTAGTTATAGTTCGTGTACTCCTACTTGGATCTTCAATCCTCACAATGATGCTATCTTCTGATATGACATTACGATTTTTCGGTTTCAGAGGCGATCTCTCTGTGGTGGAACCATAAACTCTTATAGCTTCGTCATTTTCTTCTTCAAACGCATCGTCGATTGAAAATCTTTTGTCATTATTACTGCCAAAAACACTCGCCATATTGCAGTGATGCACATTAACACCTGCGTAATATAAAGACAAGAAGATCAGCTTCAAGAATTTTCTATATGAGCAAAGGGTCGTACTTTCGTAGTTAAAGTCCAATTCGCCTAGCTTCATCCACAAATTACATGAACTCTGTCTACCTGCGCAGATGCAATTGTACAATTAGTTTACCTTAGCACTGACATTTGCTCGAACAGTCCTATCTGATCACGACCATCTAGTAAATAGACCAAACTAAAAACTCAGAAGCAATTTGTCAAATGCTCTTCAATCCGCCAAATTCCAATATAACCTATCTCTGTCAAATATCTTGTGGAGTCGTCATTACATCTTCATGGTCAAATCGAACATCATCGATACTGACTCGAATCTCTGACATCGAAATTCCGACATCGATTGTATCGAACTGCATCATCTGGTTTAGAGACAAACCGTCAACATTTTGTGGATTAAGTTGATTTATAAAAATTGTGTTCAATGTGTTTCGTACAATGCAGTTGGCATATAAACATTTTCATTGATTTTTTTAATTAAAGTCAAGTGATGTCAGTGAACGTATGTCTGTGTATATTCAGAATCGAAATATGCGATGAATATATGAACTCGGAAAGTGAAAATTGCTCAGGTAATTTCCTTTGTCTTTCTGGAGAGAAAGTGGTCGACAAAGACTCAAGAAAGCACCATCGTTTACTACTTATGTGTGTTGTCAATTAATTTGCGTGTCGAAGGTGACTTTTAAATTGATGGAAAGAATGACAAGAAGAAATAATCGATGATATAATACTTCAGAATTTAAACTATTTGCTTAGACGTTTGCTTTATTTTAGCACACTGTGGAGCAATGGCTGCAGAAAATGATAAAGCTCGTATAATGCGAGGAAGAAGAGAAATGCGTGATATTACAATTGAGACCTACACAAATGGCAAAGAGGGAACCAGCAAACTGCTTCCAATTTCTAAAAACAAGGATGGAAATTCAGCCTCCACAAAACCAAAAGAAAGTTTGTATCAACTTATAACATTATCAAGGATTGTCTACAATTACAGGTATTCTCAAGAAAGTGTTTTGCTTTCATTTGTAAATTTCTGTGAATAGGTGAGAGCAAAATACGTCGCTCCTGTGAGCCAGAATGTGCAGAAGGTAGCTACAAGTCAAGAGATCAGATTTCATTTATCTCCGGAAATCCTTTTGTAGAAGTAACCAAGGGAATTCTTCATTTATTTAAAGAAGAGTAAGTGTCATAAATGGACAGTTGTAATTTTCTTATTGATATTGTTTTTTGTGTATAATATGTCTCATCAAAATAAAGTATCAGGTAAATGCATTAATTAAGTCTTAAAAATTCTCTCATTGTCTTGAGCAAATGGCAGGATTCCTCTTTGCTGAACATTATGAAATGGAAATTATTGTGTCGACTTGCTGTCATTTTTAATTTATCTTTTTTAGTGAACACACATCAATGGAACGGGCATCACATAGAAGTCAAACAGTGTGTCTCCTAGCAGTGCCAGCAACAATGACTTGCCATGATCTCCTTACATTTACAGCTGCTTGTCATGCAGATATACAGCATCTGCGAATTGTGCGGGATGGTGTTCCTAATCAATATATGGCGCTCATAACATTCCGAACTCAGGTTTGTGGTATATGCAAGATCTTGTTAGCCAGGGAATTCTTAACCTTTTCCAGTTTATTGCAAAGTTTCTCAGTTACAAACTTGACTTTGCATTGAAAACTAATCTGTCAGATAGTGTTCTTCCGTGAAAATTTGGATTATATTTGTAATTGTGATCTTTTGCTACAAGGAACAAAAAAAAACACTTTCAAATCTTAGAAATGTTTTCAAAATGACACATCTGTAAATTAAGAATTAATGCCATGCTAGTCATGAGATAAATTATTGTAATAAGAAAAGAATGATACACATTAATGTATCAGACTACATTTCCAGATAATTCTGGTACAGTTCTGATGTAGTTTGTTGTAACATAGGAACATGGTAACTACTACCATGCTCATCTTGAAACCTGGTAATATAACTGCAAACGTAAAATGTTAAAATCTATTTTTAAACCACAGCAAGCTGCAGCAGAGTTTTATTCAACATTCAATGGTGCCCCTTACAATTCTTTGGAACCTGATTGCTGTTGCCACCTTGTGTTTGTGTCCCGAGTGGAGGTTGTAAGAGAAGATGGGGCTATTCCTCCTGCTGGCCACACAGAGCTGCCCACTTGCCCTGTGTGTTTGGAGCGCATGGATGAAAGTGTGGATGGGGTGCTTACCATTTTGTGCAATCACACTTTCCATAGTGCCTGCTTGGCTAAATGGGGGGACACAAGGTGAGTGATTGAGCTGCTAAGTAACCAGTAACAGGATAGGAAAACTTGATTTGGAATTGTACATAAAGAAGTGTGTGTCTTTGAGATGTTTTGTTCCTAGGTCCCTATGATTTGGACTATTGTTTTTTATTAATAAGCAAATTAACAAATTGCATATATCCATCCATTTTTATTTTTTTTTCATTCAGAGAGTTACAAACAATTATATAATATAACAGTATAAAATAGTCACCAAACGAAATTAATATAATTTCCTTGATAATTGTTATTACAAAGCATAAGACAAATGTCCGTTGGAATATTTGGGAAACACCATACGAATGCTGAGAAAGGTGGGATGACTCATAACAGTGGGCTCGATTTGTTTTAGAAGTTGCAAAATATTAAAATAGACTTCTTAAATAATTATTTTCTGGGAAAGAAATGAAACGAAAAACAATTTATCAATTTATATCTCCCAGTTTAACAGATTACGACCAGTGTGTTAGTACATGTATTTGCTGCCTACAATTGAGGTTTTGTAGATCAGACCATCGTAAGTTCAGTTCTCAACAGAGGCAAATTTTTGAAACAAAAAGTATTGGAGTTGAATAATACTGCCCAGATGAGAATTTTACATCTTAAGTTTAGGGCATGACTTAAGAGGTGACTTGCCAAAAATGAAATATCTCAATTTAACAGAGCTCTACTATTATAAAACTGTAAAGTTAATATTTTCTAATAAGAGAAAGGATTTGTGTTTTCATGTCCTTGCATTTCCATTATTTTCAGTTGTCCTGTTTGCCGTTACGTGCAAACACCAGAACTGGTTGCTGATAATCGCTGCCTTGAGTGCCACTCTGCCGATTCTCTGTGGATATGCCTCATATGTGGACATGTGGGATGTGGACGCTATGTTCAAGGACATGCCTTTCAGTAAGTTGTTGAACTCAAAAGTTAAATGGACTCTTTTAACTGTTATTGGACCATCAAGAAAAGAGTTAAACTCGCTACTCAAAACATGGAGAACAAGCAAAAAAAAAATTATAAGTGGCTCTAAAGGTTTTCTTTATTTTTCTTCAGCAGAGCAAAGTACGCTTATAAAACATTATTCAGGTCCTATTTTTTGGTAAACTGGATGAATTTTTGAAAATTGCAAAGTTACAATATTGATGATAGAGATATTTTCTTTATTGAAATCTAATCTAAACTAGTGCTAAAACAGTATGTACTTTCTTGCCATTAGTAATGGTTATGTAAACCAATTTATACCACATTTTCTGTTTTTTGTAAAACTCATTTGAAATCTTAGAACATTTGGTGCGAAAAATAAGCAATATAATAAGCAAACGAATCTAAAAATACACAATAGTAATAATTGAACACTATAGTATTGTAATTTTCTGTCAATATATAAAAGTATTTGTTTTTGTTACCACAAACGAAAAGTACCAATCATTATTGCTTCTGTTATCTGTGCTGTATTACAACAATGGGTTATATCAACCAACAATGACTGCTTATTTAATCGTTTTTACATTTAGCACAATTAAAAGATACAATTTAAAATTAAATAACCTAAATATATAATAAATAATAATAATAATAATAAAATGATATATGAAATAATATATAAATTCTATATTACATAGCATCCAACTATGTAAATTGGGAGCGGCGACTGAAGGCTATCAATTTTATTTTTATTTCAAATAGGTTTTAAATAATTTCTAAAAGATTAATTTGTAAAAGCTTCAATGTTAAAAACAAACAAAGAAATATGAAAAACTATAATGCACATTCTAACTTACGTAGCATCCACCTGCCTCAAAAAACCTAAAATTACGATCAAGAAGCACAGTATTTTCAGAGCGGGCAACTAACTTTGATGTCCAATTACTCCCAAAATACTCATAGTTTCAAAAATTTCAACATGGCCTTATTCAAAATCTGTTTTTGATGAACACATTTCATTAAGAAAATAAATAGTATCTTGATAATTGTAGCTGTTGGGAGATGCTAAAAAATTTTGAATTTTTTCAATTACCAAAAAATCGGGGTTTCAACCAACAGGAGATATGCACCATTTTCTTATATTTCCTTCAGATTATCCAACAACAAAATTTCATCAAAAATTATGAAACAATTGGGGGTGGGGGGGAATATAAATAAAAATTAAAACTTTGCATACATTTCACGCAACATTATTCGAAAAATTCTTGAATTTTCACAAAGTTGTGCATGATCTTATTTCAAAATCTATCTTTTGGAACAGATTTCATTAAGGGAAAAAATCTCTATCTTTAATATTATAGTTGTAGGAAGATGTCAAAAAATATTTTGAATTTTTTCAATTTTCGAAAAATCAGACTTTTCAACCTACATGAAATCTACGCTATTCTTTTAAAAATCCTTCAGATACTCAGTATCCAACTACAAAATTTATTCAAAATTGGAGGCTCCATTGTTTTGGAAATTTGGAAAGTGTTCCAGGGGCTTTATGTAAAGTACCCCCCAAAATATAAATATTGGTTTCAAATTCAAAGAGCCACAACATCAGCCAGATCAATTTAGGAGAAATCTAGGAATGGTTTAGCCACTAGTGTTGTTCACAGACATGTTTTGCGGTCTATCGATTTTTCTGTATCAAGGACTCACAAAACCTGAATTCTGACTACACCACTTATTAGAGAATTTTTATATCCTAAATTTAGCTACTGGATGCATCTATTTTTTTTGTTAATGGGGTCCAGTAATAAGAGTTTTTCTGCCGAAAATTCACCGTTTTTGCATGCAGCATTACATAACTTTTTCGTCTTAAGAAATTCCTTCTTAAGCACAAGGAAGTAAAAGCTTTGAATAAGGTGATTTGCAATTTTTTGAAAACTTGAGTAGTTTACTTGTAATTTTTGAATGAAGAAAAGGCAGTTAAATAATTCAAGGGCAGTCTTTGGAAATATAATCAACTGGGATGATATTTTCTTGTCTCAGAAAACATTTTATTTGACTTAGTGTCCTCCTGATACTGTTAAAAGATAAAGAGAATGTGGGCATATCCTTCCTTAAACATTCATTTCTACCTTTTATTCTCACAATTCCTCTTCATTCCACTTCTACTTTTGCCTTCATTCATTTACCGTTGAAACAATGATAGTGTTTACTCGAACACATTGTTGACATCTTGGAAATTTCTGAAGCACATTGTCTATCATTAACCACTCTTCTCAGAAGCTCGTGCATTTCAAAATGTGAACAAAAAATGTTTCCTGGTGAACATTAATATCTTATGCTATTCTCATATCTTGGATTATGCATAATAATAAATGGAATCGTACAATTACTATGACTTCCTAAAATTGTCTAGTTCACAGAGATAACTCGGAGATCAATTCATTGTCCAGTTGCTAGTGTTTAATTTGTTGCTGCAACTTTTTTGGATATTTTATTTCTAAGTTTTCTAAAGTATTAAAATAATTTATTTCAACATTTCATTGATGCCTCAAATTGATATTAACTGTTCTTGAGAGAGTAAAAGGATTACTCATTTTACTAAATGGCAGCTTCTATTAAAGTTACTGGGCAATTATCTTTGCATGGTCCAGCAGACTTTTAAGCAACTTGAGTCTTTGGAGGGTTGTTGAGATTAATTGTAAGAGTAGTTTTCTTTTTATGTTTGTTTTTCAATGTAGTAGTGAGTGCTTACTTTAACAATTTCAAAAATTAGAAACATGATGATTTTCAATCTTGGTAGCGATTTCTTTATTTTATTCAATGTTAAAAAAATAATTCTTAGGTAATTAGTGTGACAATTGATCACTTCAATCTTTTTTATTAAGCCATCCATGTCTTTTCACATATCCCACATGTCATAATTGAGAATGGCCTTACTGTCTTCTGAAGCCTCGAAGATGTAAGTGTGTAGGGACTGCACACAGTACTAGAATGACTGAAAATGGAGTTCTGTGTGAATTGTGTGTAACATATTTGTATTTACGACTTATTTTGCTGTGTATCCTGACAATGTGTTGAAATTTGGCGATCTCATTCCTAGTCCTATAAATTTTAAATTGAAGAACTGCAGAAATAAGGTAGGCCGAGACATTTAAATCTGAGGAAAAAGCTAGTACATGGGAGGGAGGGGGGTAGCTTAGGTGAATGAGTTAACATTGCTTTCAAACTATTCTGTCAGAATTTTCTTAAAAAACTTTTGATTTCTGGTGTGGTTTAGAAAGTTTTATATTTACAAAAGTTGCCAAAATTTGTGCCTAATATGAACTTGTTTAATTTCAAACTTTTGTAAAGTGAAAATTAAAATTTTCTCCATACATTTTCTCAAGGTGTTTTCTGAGAAATATATACTAAGAGTAGTAAATTTTACATTCTGCAGTTAAATATAATTTTACCAGAACTTTCCTATGCTTCCAAATCTGATCTGACCATACAAATAAAATTTCCTATTAGCTATTTCCCTATCCTTTTGTCAGCGTTTTTGTCAACAGGTTACCAGGAGGATGTTCTGAAAAGAAGCTTGGATTAACTAATGTCAAAGCATGCCATTCTCCAAGGTACCATGATTAATCACATATATGATAGGTACCATCCAAATAAAGCAGATTCTAAAGAGTGCTGTGTTATGAATAGGACAGTAATAACATTCATTTTAATGGTAACTACAACAAAATACGACTATTTCACGAACAATCTTTTTCAGTTTTGTGTTTAAATTGTGAAAAGCTGTTTCATTAAAAAATAACTAGGTTTAGTTAAAAATACTCAGTATAAAATTACAGATAGAATTTCTGAGAAAGTAGCATACACCCAATTCACAAGAAAACAGTCAACACCTCGAACTCTTGAATTCTTGTAATTTTGGATACTTTTTTTGATAGTAAATGTTTCATTTTATATTGAAACTGTAATTTTAAATGTTTCGGAAACTAATTGTTTTTTAAGCATTATTTTAATATCCTTGACATGTCATTGCAATGTAAGTGATTGTTTGTAAATACAATCCAGACAATGTTGGAAATATGGTAGTCTTCTTGGGGAACAAAAATATTTGGACTCCTTAATCATGGAGTTATGTTCAACCCAGATGTGTTAAGTTATGTGTAATTTACAGTGTACCCAACTTCAGTTTATTTTATAACGAAGAGTAACCTGATGAAAATGACAGGACAAAATTAAACTCTTGCATTAATAAAGAATGAAAAACACAATATTTGTATTTTTAAAAACAAAATGCTGTGTTTTTCATTATAAGATTTCTTTTAATGTAAAATTATGGTAACAAAAATTGTCATTAAAAAACTTGAAGACGGCTAAGTGAACTCGACCATGGACAAAGTATGATTCTCTTAAAAACAGTTCCACTTGTCAAAAGGTTGGTCCGTTGACTTGATTTTGAGAAGCTTGTCATTTATTACTCCTTTGAATGTATTGCACCCTTATAACCACAGTTCTGAAACTTTAGGCAGGTATTCCTTAATGAAATTCAAAAAATGTCCACACCATCTATTTCTCTAATTCCAAATGAATCGGTTACTTTTAAAAACCCTGTAAGTCACTCTTTTTTACATTTTCGTTACAAGTTTCAGCATAGATGCACTGTTCCATGTGGAAAAGTCAGATAAATAGAATGATCGTGAAGACACTGCTAAGTTTTGGTTTGGTGGGGTTTCCTGAACATAACTGTATAGTTCTCTGCTAGATTACATGCATAAATTACGTGCAAAATGTGCTATTGTTCATGATTCCAGTGCATTTTCCATTCCATTTTATCTCAGACAATTTGATGTCAATTTTTTGTGTTCACAATGTATGAGATGATAAATCATCATATCTTTTTGTTACCACAAGGGTATTGCTACTAAAGGACCAAATGAGGTTTGTTAATTTTTAAATAACTAATTAAAGGCATTCCTGACTATGTCATGACACTTACACATCTCAGATAGGTGTAGTGCCCAAAAGAAAAACAATACAGTAGTAACATTGTGTCTTGTATTGGTCAAGGACAGATTTTAATCCATAAACCAGAACTTCCCAGTATAGGGGCGCTCCTCTCTGTACAATAGGGATTTTTATGTTGTCAAACGAAAGATAAGGAAATATGAGACTATAATGATATTGTCAACTACAAAACGTGGTGGTCTCCACTGTTCAAGAAGTCTGTTCTTTCTATTGAATCTCATCTTGAGTGTGCTTCCAGATCAGGAATTAAGATTTCAGGTGTCAGAGTATAATCATTTTATGTATTCTAGGGACAATTTAGGTATAGTTGGCTAGCCAGACTATTAATGGTCTTGTAAGCTACAACTTTGGGGTTCTTAAAAGTTCCCCCCAGTGCCATTGTGATGCCTGAAAAGAGAGCCTATGATCAGAATCTGCCAATTAATGGCAAGAAAATGGAAAATTTGGAATAATTGAAAGGATACATACCCAATGAAGAGGAAATTCAGTTATTTCGGAAAAGAGGGTTTGACTGCGATATCACTGACAGAGAAATTGGTTAAAAAGGATGTTCAATATGGAAATATTCCTATGTATAGAAACACATATTTCAAGCAACTGTTTCTATCATATGATTCACGTTTGGTGTAGATGCTCATTGCCATTTCATATAATATTCTAATAAACTTGTCAAATTACAAGCAGTACCTGCAGTGTGTATTTATTTACATATAAAAACCTATTGATTAGTCATAAAGTCATAAAGGTTGAAATAAGTCCAGCGATAATTATACAAGTCAATTACATGTCTCAATGGCATACTCAATCAAGATTTATGTATCTGAAGTAAAAAAAAACTGTAAAGTTCTCTATGTACTTAATTATTCAGTTTGTTTTGTTTTGTTTTCCCACAATTTTACAATTCCAGATGTGTGGGATTTAAAAATAACCGATTCAAATGTATGTATGAACCGAAAACTTCCAAATTGTTCTGCCAGATGTTCCACTAGTATCAAGTAGCAGGTTGATTTCATAGTGACATGGTTGGATTTTAATTGCTTGAACTTATTTGGCAGTAAATTCTTTAAGTAATATTATGCAAAAAATCACAAGTTTCTGTCTTATTCCATTTGCTCAAACTTAACAACACAATTATGGAGATACAGGAAATTATGTGGTAGATTCAATATGAAGAAATATTATTTGCTAATATTTAAGATATATGATAAATATTAATTGTAGAAAAGTAGTTATTAATTTTTGCCTAATCTATGTGTAACACAGTTACTATAAAACTGTAGATTATATTGTTTAATGTGTTAAGAGTATGATTTGTAGATAATAAAAGCATAATTTAACTACACAAGAAACGTAAACTATTGGTTCCTACATTCACAAAGTACCTGTAGTTTTAAAAAGTACAGTGGTTGACATATGCTGTGCAGAATTTACGTAGTGTTGTTTGATTAATTATGCTTGAAAAAGATTGCACAAATAACAAAAGTACTAAATAACAACATTGATGAAAAGATATTTTAGATAGATGTATTCAAGAGCTTTCGCTTTCATTCTGTTCTGTTGCGATCAATTTGGTAATGTATTGGGTAATTATGTTTTCAGACATTATTTATCAACACAGCATTGCTACTCTATGCAGCTAGGCAACAATCGTGTCTGGGATTATGTTGGAGATAATTTTGTCCATCGCTTACTGCAGAATAAAGGTGATGGAAAATTAGTGGAAGGTAGTGCTCCTAGTAAAGAGCCGGTAGGTTGATCTTCTATAATCTGAGAATTATCTGGCTGTTATGTTCAGAAACGAATTATTTACAAATTGAAAATACTTTTGACTTGCATATTAATGTTTTCATAATTTTGCTGCAGTGCATAATATCTAAAGAGTACACATGTGCTTTGCTTGTTTTGATAGCAGTCAGAGGACAAACTTGATGCAGTTCAATTGGAATTCACTTATCTTCTCACATCTCAGTTAGACTCTCAACGCCTGTACTTTGAAGAAATGCTCAGCAGGATGGAACAGCAACTCACATTAGAGGTATCAATTGTTATTTTAATTTTCCTCCAGGAATCCTATAGAAAAGATTTGTGACTACTAAACTGCTTGCTCTAACAGCAAACTGTCAAATTCTTTCACTATTTATTAAAATGGTAGAAATAACAGAAAAATGAAAGAAGGGTACAGACATTTTTATCTTTGTAGACCCCAAATTGAATTGAACTTGAAATCAGGAAGTTAGTGTTCTTGTCAGATGTCAAGTATTATAGTTGAGCTTATAAAATAATCTTAGAGGTTTGCTTTATTTTGCTGAGCTCTTGTTGACTAACTTTGGAGTCAATAATTGCTCTGTACTTACGAATCATTGACATTTAAGTGTTTTTGACATTTCAACGAGATGTTGTCACACACTACCAATCACATGGCTCTTTTAAGATAATGGTTGAAATCTTTTATTATTACACTTACCGAGAGGTGAGAACACATTCGTAGTCTCTGCCCCCACTCAAACCTTATTGCCTTCTAAATCCAGCATTCTATTCAAACTGATACTGATGATGTCTCTGTGTGCTTCTCAATGATTGAATAGCAATGCTTATCTATGGCTATGGCAACATGTACAAATTCTCAAGCAAAAATTCAAGTTCATAAGACGGTTGCGTCAGAGCAGAATGCTGCCTTGTGACAAGATTACTGCTAGAATTACTTATACAATAATGGAACTGTAGTGGTAACTCATATCATTTATCGTTCTGTGCAAGAGACTTATCTCAATTGTTTTGATACTTTGTTAAAAAATTACTTTTCAATAAACAAATTAAGTTGAACGATTAGTGTTAATTATAAAAAATATTAAATATGCATCAGGTGTTCTGTGGGTTGCATAATAACTTTATTTGTTAATGTCATCTTCCCAAGTCGTTTTCATGTGTGTGTGGAGTATCTTCCCCCTTAGTATTATTTATCCTTTGTAAGTAATAAGTGTATCCAATTTGGTGAAATTATCGAGGTTTGCTGCATCTTACATTACTTGTTCAAAAATTTCTTTGAAATTGCTTTCTTTATCAAGACGATCCAAAATTGATTGTCTTTGGAATGTTTCACATTTCAAGCACATTCATGAAAAACATTCTGACATTTTGGCCATTGAAAGTTACAAGTTATTGTAAGTTAATTTCAAGTTTGTGAATGCATATAGTATTAAAATACTATATGATATTCATACTAACTTCTTTGATTTTGCTTCTAGACAGCAGATCTGAAAGAAGAAGCTAAGAAATTGACCCAGGAGAATGAACAACTTGGAGCAAAAATTGTTCAGCTAACCAAAGAGAAACAAGCTACTGATAAAAAGGTGCGGGAAAAGTTTTTTAATTTGATTTAATCAACAAACAAATATAATAACTGTAACAACTAATAACTATACAATTTCAAGAGTGTTCAAAATACACTTATTAAACAAACTGATATTAATTGCTGATATCTTTAGCAAAGTGATGTTCACTCATACTTAATTTCTCCCAATCCATAATTTTATGGCATTATATCACTAATCATGGGATTGCTGAATCATAACAACCTGCTTGTTACACATCATCCCATTTATACAGATACATATTAAACAATATAATAACTCAGTGGTTTTGGTTCTTTCGCTCAGTAACTTACCCAACGGGAGTATTATGAAAAGTACATGCCAATGGCAATAGTGCATATTAACTTGATTGAAGTATTTAAATAATCATATTCAAAATGTGCATGGAGATTCTTTATATGCTACATATTGTAGGGTTACCTCTCTCTGTCGCACCGAAGTAGCGACTAAGAGAAACGGTGAAGACCAGAGCTGGGCACTTAAGAAAATCTTTATGTATGTGAATCATGCAAAACATGTTCATACAGTAATATGGGTATCTCTGGGAAGCTGATAAGGTATCTAAATCTAATTACAAAAATACTCAGAATCCAAAGTAATAGCATACTTTCATTTCTCTTTTGAAAAATTTGAGTTAATTTATTCAATCTAAAAGGGAAACAAATTCTCACATCTATTTACAAAATCAGTTTACAATGTTTCGTTTTAGTTCTCACTTTGTTTACAGAAAAGTGACAATGAACTTTGACTTTTACCTGTGATATAAACGATCTGTAAGGCTCCCTGATTTAGATTAACATAAAGTTGAAAATACCTTTGATTCCTTTCTTTTTTTTTTTTACACTGAAAAGCTTCTGCAGTGATGTAGTCTGCTAAGCATATCTGCTCCCAAGCAATCTCGTCTACGATCTATCAAAACTAAGTCTGGGTAAAGATGTTATCTTTTCTCAGACATAATATATCTACAGGTCAATTAACTCTGTATTAGGTTTTAGACCCACGAGCCCTCTTCCCTACACCTGCACTGTGCATTCAGCTCAATGCCATGAAATTTAATTATTATTATTATTATTATTATTATTATTATTATTATTATTATTATTATTATTATTATTATTTATTGTATTGAGTTCACCCTATATAGTAAATGTTTTGAGTTTTTATCCAGTATTCCATTTGTTGAGGTGGCCATTGGCTAGGTGGAGCACCACATTTTCATGATATTCTTTGTTATTCAATGAGGAGGCTAAAGCTCCCAAATCCTTTATGCAGATAATGTACTAATAATAATGAAATCAGAAGTCAACTTACAAATAACTGTATAAAATACAGTTTATTGTTGTCAGAGCTACCCTCCATCTATTCTTTGCCTTGAGTATTTTGCTGGTGTTATTACTGAAACCTTACCTTACGATCTTTACAAACAAATGAAAATCAAAACAATATTATGAAAAAGAAATGAGATGAGTTAAAATTGTTATTAAAGGGCAAATAATCAAAAAGTTTCAAATTTAAAATAAAGCTGTGTCATCATTAATCAGCAATCACAAAGCACATACAATTTCAAAATGAAAATTCAGAAATTAAGAAAAAAGTGGAATAATTAAATGACATTTTGGAAGAGAGAAGTCACAATGAAGAATACATAAAATGACATCAAAGCCAATGTATGATTCAGAAATTTTGACAATGAAAAGTAGAGATTGCGAAGGATTGGAAACCACAGATGATATTCCTGGGTCATCTTAAGGGAGTCACTCAGATAATTTAAATAAGAAATAAAGACAGGAAAATACTCAGAGCAAAGAATGTAGTATAATAGATGGGGAGTCATTTAAAGTAGCTCTCACATCAATAAAACAGGAAAGATGACTGACATCATTTTTGATTCATAAACCAAAAAGGAAAAAGAGATGAGGGAACACCACAACCAAAATGGCTAGATCTGGAAACAGGATTACCTGGCATATCATGAAACAAGAATAGGTGACATACCTATCATGATTTTGATTATTTGTTATTCAGTATACTTTTGAGATGTAACAAACAGGAAATGGTGAATCTGCTTCTTCTGTTTTAGTTGCAGCAAGTGACTGGGCGATTAGCAGCATCGCAAGCTGAACTTCAAGAAGAACGTCAAATGAGTCGAGCATTGCGTCAGAATCAGACTGAATGGCAAGCAAAATTCTCTAATCTGGAAAAACAATTTTCTGAATATCGGGCATCAAAAGACAAGGTGAGATCATCATTAAATTGATCGAGTGCTTATTATTTAGCATAAGATTTTATTAAGTAAAGGACATATTCTTTTGTTAAGAATTACATTTCTTTATTTACCAGATTTTGAGGCTCAAGGGAAAAAATGTGTTTGGGCTATTTATTACTAAAGTAGTTAATTGATTGTCTTTTATAATTCTGTTGTTTCATTCAGGAACTCGCTGATGTCAAAGAACAGCTACAAGACGTAATGTTCTTTTTGGAGGCTCAGAAGCAAATTGAAGCATCGGCAGACCGTGATGAGATTGCTGAAGGACGTATTGTTATAGCTGAAGCACCACAGCAAAACGCTAAGCCAGGAAGAGGTGGTCGAAGAAGGAAGAACCGTTAACCCATTGAGCAGAAGACAGAAGATTGATAAAATACTTTGTGATTTGCTTTTATGAGGTCTGTTCAATGTTTGTATCAGAAAGTCACAAGTATGGAAACAATTTTCTTCATTTCAGAAACCATACAACTGAAAAGTTGACTTCTCTTCTCTAGGATTTCTTTTATGCAACTGGATGTAACAGCTTTTAGTGAAAGCAATGAAACCTTATGAACGTGCACTATGTGACATCCATCAGCTTTATTGTATATTATTTTTTTAGTTTGACATGAAAATAAAGGAAGTGGACTTGCCAAACAATCATAACAACTCTTTGTGAAGTTATACAGTTAAGAATGTGATCTTACTTGTAAAAAAAAGTCATTGTAAATTGCAAATATCAATATATAAGTTTAAAATGTTAAGTACTTAATTGTAGGCCTGCATTACTGAAAAGGATTATTTGTGATCAAAGAAGTGAAATGTTCAATATATTATAGTTGCAAATGTTGCTACTGTTGTGCCTAGGATATTTCAAGTGTTGTGCAAAATAAATTTATTTGTTCTTCTTTTGTATAATTATACTATGAATGTAAATAAATGTAAAACTAATATTATTCAAATGGATCTTACTTAATGGATTTGAACACAACTCAAAAAAATGCTTTTTAAACTGAAGAATGCTTTAGATGTTTTATTGCTCAAGACATTTGAAATGCTAAAAAGAGCTTTGATATGATCAAGGCATCAAACGTATATTATGGTGGTATTTTGTCTGCAATTATGTAATGTAATGGTGTTAAAAAACAGTCACATTGTTCCTTAGGATAAATTTATTACATATTTATTCATATTTTGTAATTTCCTATTGAATAATTTTGGGTTTGGGAATAAATATGTTGTAAATTCATCAAAATGAACATTATCTGTTATTTAATTATTTATATAATTCAAGCACTAATTCAGTTAATAGAATTGTTCTGTTCAGATTTATAATTAAATCGATGAGTTGAAAGGCACCAAGTCCTAATTTTGAAATTATTGGTAAAGTATAAAAAATTATATTTGGCCTTATTGTTTAAGAAATTTCTTATTTTCAATTTTTCTATTACTTCTCTGTTAGGTTCTAATTTTCTCTCTTTAAAAAGATATCCAATTGCACGTGTATACTTTTTTTTTTTTTGGACTTGGTGCTTTTCAACATTAATCAGGGTTTTCACAAAACACTTTTCATAAAAATCTTGAAACTTTTAATGAATAATAAAACAAAACCTAAAAGAATGTTCATGAATTGTACATTATACACCCAAAAAAGTATTTAATCAATAGTAGGCCATTTTAAGACATTATCATAAAACTACTTAGATTTGTCAGAGTCGTTAACCTAACAATATCCTTTTCTTAAATCTTCAATTTTTGTTTCCTTTATGTGTACTTTTCCTTTCTGATAGGCTCTCATATTCCTTCAGTAAATGTTTTTATGACTTCTCTTCAGGTAATAAGTTGAAGTTCTCTACATAGCTATTAATGTATTGACAAGTTAGCAGATGGACCGAATGGGATGCTGAGTACTCAAATTGCAGGAATGAAGCTGGAGAAAAGAAGGCACTTTACTTTCCTTTGAATGCTTCTTCCAGAAGATTAATCACTGTGGGCACTTTTCTTATATTGCTTTGGCCACCATTTGTTTATATCAAGTATCTTTACTTTTGCAATGATTTGACGGTATTCTACTGGTCTGTAAATTCTGTCATATTTCTTTGAACATCTTGTGAAGAGTTCCAAGTCTCTCTTGTATGTAAGGAAGAAATGGACCCACATTGGGAAGCAGTGGATTATTTCAGAAAATGTTATTTTCTGCTAGTCCCATTCACATTCTTATGAATGAATGATATGTGTTTTGTGCTAGGCAACTGGCAGAATAAAGTTGCAGTCTTTTAATATCTCCTGGAATATAATCGTGGATAAAGTCTAAAAGAAACAAATGCTTCTTTTTTGCAATTCCCTCGTGATACTTAAACTTTTGGCAACTGTCATTGGACAGATAATGAATGCCAAATACATTTACCCATAGTTGTGTCAAATAAAAAACTTCCTGTTCAGGAATGGGGGGGAAGAGGCAAATTCTGCATATACTACTGCATAAACAGGAAGTGTCACTATTCTGTTTACACTTTTCGCTGCATTTCTTCATTGAATAAAATTGTTTACCTCTTGCCTTATACACATACATGCTCCATTGAGTGTTGAAGGGAACTTAAGCAATGGACTTGGTACCTTTCAACTCTTAATCTTTTGATTCTGCTTGGTAAAAAAGGTATAAGTAGTGTCTGGAGTAAGTTCATTTCTTCATTAAACAATGTAAATGAATGAAACAATACAAAAATCATTACAATGCAAAATAAAAAAAAACATGGACTTAGTTTCTTTCAACAATCACTGATTCAATTATTCTAAATAATTTACTCATCTTTTATCAATTTTGGAAAGAATTTTGAAAAATAATAAGAGAAAGCTTGGAACATTGGAAGCTGAAAATCCCATATCTCTCTTTTTTTTTTCTTTTTATCTTTTTCTCTTGTATGTAAAATAAAGTATTGTAAAGCTGCAAAAATTAATGCCAAGTTTTTGATGTATTTAATTATTTTTGGGACAGAATCTGAAAAAGCGTGGTTCTTTTTTTTTTAAAGAGATACGACTGTCCCACCACCTGTAGACAAAACAACATCTTCAAAATAAGATTGAACCAGTGAGTGCCTATGACTCCTAAGGAGCATTTTACCAGTTTAGCTGAGCAGCAACAATGTGGGGATGGAAGTTTTTAACAGATGTTTCCAGTTAGCTCCAACCAAGCACTTGTGTGCATGATCCTCATGAAAACTGACGCTATTATCCAAAAGTCAATGTTCACTACTATCACGTCCTCTTTTTACACTCTTGCTATGGAGTAGAGAAAGTTATGTAATTCTGCATGGGAAAAAAAAGCAGATTTTCGTCACAAAAACTCTTTATTACAGGGCCCATGTAATGAAAATTAGTGGTCGTCGTGGCTGTCATAAATGACTTTAGCAATGACATCAGCATGAAGTTTGGCCTCGATAAATGTGGAAAATGTGGTCAATTTAAAGAGAGGCAAAGTGACAACGTTCCAGAGCATGGAAGTTGATATGCACACTGTGATTCTAGATCTTGAACCAGGTAACACGTACAAATATGCGGGCGTTGAAGAATGTGAGACCAACTCGATCGACACAATGGAAGAGAGTATTCGTAGGGAGCATTACAGAAGAGTTAGACACACTGCAGTCCGCCCAGAACTCCAGGAATAAAATATCGGCAACTGGTAGTTTGGCGGGGCCTGTAGTTGAGTAGTTTCGAACTCGTGGACTGGACTCAGCAAGAAATTTGAATCATGGATCGAAAAACCAGAAAACTGCTGACAATGCATCATGTCGCTCACCCTCAAGTTGATGTATATAGACTTCATGTGTCACCGAAGGGTAGAGGAAGAGGAGGAGACCTCAGGAGGAAGAGGATTGAAGCCTCCTGGCACATTGCAATGGTCGGGATGGGAAAGTCAGTCAACATGACCCTCTAATGAAGTAGGTCATAAAATCTGACCGAAGAATGGGAAACAGAGACATTGTTTGTTGAGAAAGAAGCACTGCAAAGAAATCTATTCAAGGCGCGCAGAGTAACAAAGACATTGAACTTCTGATGCTACCAAACATGAAAAGTGAGAGACAAAAAATGTTAAAAAAGTCGTAAAAAGACCAACAACTCCTTGAACAATATCTAAAAACAAATGGACAAGGTGTAGAATAATAAAGATCAATTATTTATGTGGCTTAAAAGGGAAGAATGAAGAAAGAATCGGAAGCACTTCTCATAGCTGCTCAGGTTCAGGCGTTGCGAACACACTGTGATACAGCGGTTCTCAAAATTTTTCAAGATGATAAATGCCGCATCTGTAAGGAACAAGTAGGAGCCATTCATTAGAGATCATATCGTCTCAGCCTGTCCAATTCTAGCAAAAACCGAATACTTGAAAAGACACGACAGGGTGTACCTCCACTGGTAGATCTGTCCCGCCCTCGAAGTTCCGAACACATGATCCAAGTGGTATAACGACCGGTAACATCTGTTGGACTCTATACAACATTGTACGATCAACAAATTCAAACGGATTGCACGATAGCAGCAAACAAACCGGAAATTGTATATCCGGGATTTGGAGAAAAAATCGTGTCAACTTGTACACGTTTCTGTGTCTTGCAATCAAAACATCGTAACCAAGGAGGCGGACAAACATCTTAAATACAAGTGTTTGGAAATCGAGATCAGCCGAATGCGGGGCGTAAAAGCACAGGTCGTACCGATAGTCATCGGAGCTCTGGGATTTGTTCCGCAAAATTTGTGAAAGAACTTGGCTACACTCCCAGGTCATTCAAAAGACTGGGAAGTGCAAGAAATTGCTTTATTTGCAACAGCCCACATTTTGCGTAGTGTTGTACAGGTACCGACAGTCACTAGATTTGCTACTTAGGTAGTTTGTTGCAACCTGGAGTTGATTTTATACTCGGCCAAATTATAACATCCTAATAGTGAGGTAGAGGATTATGATGATGATGATGATGATGATGATGATGATAATAATAATAATAATAATAATAATAATAATAATAATAATAATAATAAATGAATAATACCTTCTTTTGAAGCCTTTAACCGTGTTATTTGTGGAATTGCAGATTATCCAGGCAGACTAAGCGGATTTTCACATTTGGTAATATGGGGTATGCGTTCGTAGTATGTGCGGCGATTTGCGCTCGCTTCTCGACTAGACGGAAGCTGCAATTTTCCACCTCTTTCTTCAATAACTACATTCTCATTAGCTACCCATGGGACCAACTTCGTTTTTCTTTTACAGCGGTATTGCTAACGGTGCCGAATATTTTATTTCTCGCTCGTACGTATGTTCTTTACGGCGCTTTCGTGGCATGGTGGGATGGGTACCAGCAAGTTAACTCTGAGTATCTGAGTTGGGTCTCGGAATGGAAATAAATGGTTACTGGTTGAAATCATTTATGCAAGTTTATATAGAAGTCGTACAATATAGCGCATCGGTTACAAATTATGCGAGGAAGTATGTGTGTTTGCAGCTCCACTAGTTTCAATTGAGTGAAAATTGACTACAAATATTCACTCAATTTTTATTGAGGTAGATGAATATACGCAAATAAAAATGGTGAAGATCGGACTTTCGAAAATTTAAGTAATTTTTGCGTATTTTCAGAGACACGACTTATATAAATTACATAAATATAATTTTCTTAAATATGCACATTTTTCTTAGTTTTATAATTGATTTTTTGAAAAGCTCAGTATTCTGCAATACAAATGCTTACGTTTCTAAAGCTTCGTTTTTTAAAGTTTCCAATTCCAGCTCAAGCGAATGATATAGTTGTTACGTTAAATATTACCTAAAGGTACATTCATGAGTTCATATTCCACCGGGGGAATTTCGGCGTGAGAAGAACGCTTTTGCTGATTCACATAATGTTATATTACGTATGTTACAGATAATTCGGAAAAAGTACCTCCTATTGTAGCTCAAAAGTTCTCAAAAAGACTCATTTACGTCTAAAGAAACTATCAGGTTGAATGCAACTTGCATTTTAACATTCAATGTTATATAAAATTAGTTTTGTATGCTGGAATTTCAGTATTTATACGCGCTTGATTTTGTACAGGACAAATTATAGCTGAAGATTTTTTAGTATATGGTATCTTAACTGTATAGACAAATATACGAATTTGTATTCCTATAAATCCTAAAAATCCTTTTCGCATATTTTTGTGTCATTCTTTGTCGAATATATATATATTGCATTCACTGATATTGTCTTTTCTTTGCGATACAGTTAATTCTCTTGGAACGAAACATGCTTCATTAATAACAACCTGCCAAGCAAAATGTTTAGAAAATCCAAGAAACCAATTATACAGACAGTACATCTAGCAATAGCGAATAGCGTCAAGAAACTACCCGACAACCCATAATAGTGAGTTGCCCAATTGTTTTCGCAACGCTTGCCGTTTTGCTGGGTATCTAGGGGCGATTTTTTACATTAAATGCCAGACCGATCACCAATCAAAACTAGCCCCGTAGTCCGTCAATGAAAAAACATCCGTCACTGATTTCGGACTTTTTTCATTTCGTATTGTTCTCTCAACAAATTCTTGCTATCCGTCTTCCCCTTGTGATATTGATAATTACAAGTTATTGCTGACTCATTTCAAGAGTTTGCTGTTTGCAGTTCGCTGGAAGCCAGTGCCAGAAGCGATCATCCCGATGCACGTGATGGTGCATGCGATCTGAGGCAAATGAAGTGGGCAATTCTCAAAGTAGTCGATGAGTTTGGCG